GATTTTCATTGTCCAATGAGGACAGGAAATACGGCTTTCAAGGGAACTAGCGCAGGGCCCGGTCTTTTGGTCGGAAGACCTTGATAATTGTGTTGTGTATAATTTTGCTCGACTTAAAAGTACGTAAGTGGTTGATAAGTTTATATTTAATAATTTAAGAAGGAACTTAAAATATTTTACAGATAAAAAAAGTCTTATCTATAAAAAAATTCTTGAAAGAATAACGTTACAGTTTCTTCCCATGATACATGCATTGCTACCAACGATGGGGGATGATTATGGGGGAAGAGGAAAGGGATGAATGAGACTATTTTGGGGGAAGAGAAAAGGCGATGGAGCCATGGAGGGACCCCTTCCTATTATTTTATTATTATTTAATTTTAATGATTGTGAATTTTAATATTCAAGAGGAAACATTAATGTTGAAATTTAATTTTTTTTTAATTTTTAATTGTCACGTCACTCACTTAACAATAAACTACAAAAATTGACTACCACATCAGAAAAAGTTAACAAATTGACTCCCTGCTTCTCATTGTGATTTCATTGTTTTTTTTCCGGGATGTGATTTCATTGTTGATGTATAGTTTTACCCCCTTAAATTAATTGAAAAGTTGAAGAAGGTTAAGAGCAGCATGTGAAAAGTTGAAGAAGGTTCTAAGTGCAAACTCAGATGCACCCTTAAACATTGAGTGCTTGATGGATGAAAAGGATGTTAAAGGTTTCATCAAGAGGGAAGAATTTGAGAGGTTGTCGTCAGTTTTGTTGGAGAGAGTTGGTATTCCTTGCAAGAAAGTTTTAGTCGATGCAGCCATCTCTCTGAGAAGTATTCACTCGGTCGAGCTTGTGGGATCTGGATCTAGAATACCAACAATTGCTAAGTTAATAACTTTTTTGTTTGGAAGAGAACCCAGTCGGACACTGAATGCAAGTGAATGTGTGGCTCGTGGGTGTGCTCTGCAGTGTGCAATGCTTAGTCCAGTTTTTCGTGTAAGAGAATATGATGTAAGTGCTTTCGAAATCAGCTTGATCCCTTATAGTTTTCCTCTTCCAAAGTCGCATGCACTTGCTTATATTGGCTGTTCGTGTTGACTATCAAATTACTGCTCCTTCCCCCTTTTTGTGGATGGGGTTGTGTGCTTCTTTAATGCTTAGGTTCCAATGCTATTAAATTTTGCATAATTACTGTAGCCTTTGATGTATGCATTTCATCATAGACTCTAGCCCTTGTATTTCCCCCTGACCCACTCCGCAGACTATCACTGGGAATTGCAAAAGGGACTATATGGCATGTTATTTTGCTTGTATACATATGTGCGTTCAACGACAGTTCAGGAACTTCTAGCTGTGTGGTATGCAGGTTCAAGAGTCGAATCCTTTCTCCATAGGGTTCTCATCAGATGAAGGCCCAATTTGCACACCCTCATCAAATGGGATATTGTTTCCTAGAGGCCTATCCATTCCAAGTACCAAAGTCTTGACATTTCAAATGAGTATTCAGTTTCACTTGGACACTTTCTATGCTGATCCAAATGAACTTCCAGCTGGTGTGTCTTCCAGGATATGTACTTTTACGGTAAACTTTCTTGTCACTAATGTCGAGGATATGGGAAACTCTTTGGTCTGAATTTAGTTCTTCTGCCTTCTCATAAAGATGTGGTTACTGGTCTGGACTCCCATTGCATACAGTTTTTGCCTTGTATCTTTTGGTCTCATGATGATCACTATATGCTCATTGTGTTTACCTTTTCTTTATCCGTTAATGATGCACAATTTGTGTTGTTTTCTTGTTGCATTTTCTAAACACATCAGTCTTTGATTCAATGGTTATGATGGTACTTTTAGGCTTCGAAAGTGCCAGAAAAATCATGCTGGTTAAGGATATTTTAATTGCGACTGTCCATATTTCTAACCTTTGAAGCCTTTTTCGTGACGGCGTCCATATGGTTGGCAAGCCAATTATGGATGGACATCTGGGAAATGAGAGTATTCTACCATCTGTGATTGAGATATTAGGATGATATACGATTCAGATAGTTAAGAAGAGGCCCCAGGACTGATATATGATTCAGTTAGTTAAGAAAAGTCTCCACACACTCCCTAGTCCCTAGGCACATTTTCGTCTGCTTTAAAATCTGTTTGGAGAGCGATCATACAGCTTTTGGGCGCTTGCTGAGGGAAGAGATACAAGAAAGACTTCTTGTTGCTATGTGCATGGATTAAGGATCGAAGTGCCTTTAGATGTATGGTTCGATGGTGGTTAAGCACAGATAATATCTGTTAGTATAACAAGCAGCCACTTTCTGATGTCTATTGAAGGGATTTGTTTGATACATTATGCTTGTAACTTTCTTTTCTATGCTTTCACATTAAATGCTTCACCGTTGATTTTGCATTTTGGACTTCTCATTCTCATGGATGGTTCCTTTGTCAATGAACTAAGGTAATCTAAATTCTTTATGTAGATCGGTCCTTTACAAGGCTCCAGTAATGATAAGGCAAGGGTAAAGGTTAAAGTCCAGCTTACTTAAAGATATGAGAAACAATTGAATCTTAACATGCTTATCTTGAAGGTTGTTAGTGGTCATGGTGGTGATGACGTCGGTATGCAGTCTCCATCTTCCGATTCTTCAATAAGTTCATTCACATTATGTAATTCGTTTATCATCCCTGATGTTTATGAAGACATCTAGTCTTTTTGAATGGAGGCCAACATGAAGCGTTCTTGTATTTGGCTTTTTGCATAGGTCATACTGTATTGACTTAATCTATCGGGGCATAGGAATAAACGAGACCAACTGTATCTGCAGGCAGATGGTTCGAGAGATAGAGGCAACCGTAGGATCGAGATACCGGTGAGTGAAATTGTGTATGGTGGAATGACAATGGCTCAGCTTTCAGAAGCCCATGAGAGGGAGGGAACTTGAACTCACTCAACATGACAGAACTGTGGAACAAGCCAAGGAAAAGAAAAATGGATTGGAGTCGTATGTCTATGAGATGCGTAATAAGGTACAAATTAATTGGTATAAGAATGTACAACTTAGAAAGAGCGGGGAGGCCGTTGTGAATTTTAAGAGTGCGTGTCAAGGAGAACTATTTGTGTATTTTAGTTTTACATCTGTCCTCGATTCGCAGATTTTAAAGATCAATAATCTGTGACATGTGCAGCTTTTTAACACATTGCGGAGCTTTGCTAGCGATGACGAAAGGGAGGGAATTTCAAGGAGCCTACAAGAGACTGAGGAATGGCTATATGGAGATGGAGATGATGAAACTGAGAATGCTTACACCACAAAGATGCAGGACTTAAAGCATGTAATCTCGCTTTTCTTTAAGCTTTGTCCTCGGAAAGTTTTTACTCTTTTGGCTGACTTTTTGTTAGGGCTGGGCATGTGGGCGGATCATCCGCGGGTTTGGGCCGACCCACCCGCATTTGACCCGAATTTCGTTAAGTGGGTGGGTCTGTGGGTGGGTGACGGGTTGCTCTGGGAGCCATCCGCCGGGTGGTGGGTGGGTGCGCGGGTGACCCGCTCAACCCAACAGCCAAAAGATCAAAGTCATTGGCGCTAGAGAGGGGAGAGTGGAGACGTTAGACATAAATTAGGACGGCTCCTGGAGTTTGAACCTCAAAGCCAACCTTCCAAATAGCGATCCCTTCTTCTTCCCTTTATTTTTTCCTCTAATTCTTGTGCCTAGATCACTGCTCTTTCCTTTGTGGAATTATTTTCCTTAGTTTCTTGCACCTGGTAATCATCTTAATCTGTAGAAAACTCTTTCATAATAGAATTTCTAGCCAATTTAAGAACTAATTCGACATTTTTTGCCGCCCTATTTCATCTTCTTGTTTTCCCCGAGAACTCTCTTCACCTATTATCATGTCAAGTTGACTCCTTTATATTGTATACATTGTGATGTGGGTAAACCCACAAACCCACCCGCATCATCCACCATCCGCCCGACCCAACCCGAGACTAAATGTGGGTGGGTGGTGGGTTAAAAATTAGCAATCCGTTTAAGCGCGGGTGGGTGCATTTTATGGTCAAAATCCACCCGACCCACCCAATGCCCACCCCTACTTTTTGTACCTCAATTTGTCATCAGTTGGTAGATCCAGTTGAGAACCGATAAAAAGATGAGGAAGCTAGAGCATATGCCACAAGATAATTGCTCAATTCCATTGCAGAGTTTCGAGCTTCATCAGAGTCTCTTCCAAATGAGGACAGAGAGCTGGTACGATAACATAAGAGACGAGACTTGCTCACATGAACTGAAAACTTGACCAATTCATTACTGGAATTATCTGTGGGTTCCCTTGATTTTGCAGATAATGAATGAGTGTCATAAAGCAGAACAATGGCTGATAGCAGGAACACAGCAACAAGAATCCATGCGCAAAGACATTGACCCCGTGTTATGGTCCAGGGATGTGAAGAGCCAAGCCGAGAACCTTAACTCATAACTTTCCATTTCATCAAATTTCACTTGTGGATGGCCGACGACGTGCCATTTGTAAATCTTGATTGATTGAATTTTCAGGACATGGAAGCACATAGTGAGGAAGAGGGCTTCACCAACTAGTTCAGGAGGCAGCAAGGGTTCAGATCGGTAAAACAACAATGGCCAAAGCGGTTGAAGACTCTTGCAGACAGAAGTTCTCCATGGACGGAATCAAAGCATTCCACATTGTCATACCGATCCTTGAAATTTTGCATATTTTCAAAGCTATAGAAGTTAGAGAAAGAAGAAAACAAAAACATGAAAAAAGGCAAAGGAAAATTTGCCCCTAGAAAGATGTTGCCATCTCTTTACCAGTTTCTGTGGCAACTCAATGCTGCAATTCCACAGCAGATCATGAAAAACTAGGGTCAGCAGCAGCCATAGCATTTTTAACCGAGAGTTTGCACGTTCTATTGGCTTTCATTATGCACAAAATCACCAAGGAATTTTGATTTGTATAATGTAGAATCTGCAGAAATTGTGCCGATTAATTCTCTGAACTCTCTAGTGATTTTGGGTGCTCCCCATTTATTTGTTTTCTTGGCCATTTTTGGACAACACTATAAACGAATAACATGATTGAAAAGCTTGCAACTTTCTGGAGGCAGAGGAGAAAAGCAGAGTATGGGAAAAGGAAAGAGAAACGAATTGGATATCACACAGCTCTCCAAACTTCGTGCGATGTTAGACTGCGGCAGCTGGTAAGATCCCCTAAGTTTCAGGCTTTCTTTCTCTTGCTGGTGGCTTTCCTTTTCGTATTTCTGTATCCTCCACTATCCTGCCTGCGGGCAGCAGAAAACAAGGGACAGACAAGGGAGAGGAGAAACCCAAGCAAAAAGAGAAGTCTTCTGAAGAATTACCCTTTTGAAAGTGCCTGTAGGCAGTTTGCCCAGTAAGCTCCTGATCGTTTCTGGAGACGTAAACCTGCAGTGAGAGGAAGGAGTTTACAAGTTGCTGCTGGTACCAGAAAGCTTGAAAATGTGAGGGTCAACTTGTCGAATATACCTTTAGTCCTTCTGAAGATGTAAACCAATGACCAGCAGCAGTAGCTTGACCACTTGCCTGAACTCGTCTTTGACCGGCGTCCTTACGAAGACTAGCACTTGTTCTAGGGTCCACCCAACCCTGAGAAGCTGCTGCATTAGCATCTGATTTCCTTGCTCTCTTTCTTAATTTGGACGTTGATCCCTTCTCCAAGTTTTTTTTTTTGACAAAGGGCAAAGATCTTTCATTACTATCAGTAGAAGCATGGGTTACAACAGTGGCGAAATTAAATCAAGGACATGAATCCACTCCGCAGGGAGTTGATTCTTAGCACACGAGCGTGCCACCCAGTTCGCTTTGTAATTTCTCTTTCTGTTGATAAAGTCGAACCTAATAGCAGGGTGATCGGTGATCAAGTTGCTTCCACCAAGTTGCTTCCACCAGTTCCCTTGTTTTGAGGGGTTCCCCCAAATTGACTCCTGAATTGATCGAGGCACAAAAAACATCAAATTGATAGTAAAACAATATGCTCCAGCAGAAAATATGAATGAGCCCCAATATGTGCAGATCAGTGAGTTACATGTAATCAATAACTGATTCACTTGGCGGCAGATTCCTTCGCGCTCTAACCACACCAAGGGGGGAAAAGTGGGTCAAGCGATTGCAAACCAAGTTCTGAATCCTGGCATCATCATTGAAGAAATAGTGATGGGCTGGCGGAATAGGGTCATCTACGTTCCAGCATTGCTCAAACTCTCCCATGGCATTTCGATTCGGGTCATGACCTGCTCTGGTACTTACATGCTCTTGAGTTTCACGTCTATTAGCAGCTGCATTCTTGTTTGTAACAGACTGGAAGTACTCGTTGCAGAACTCATCTAAAGCAGGTGTTCCAATCCGAACATTCTGCAATGGACTGAAGTCCTTCCACAGGTCCTCCATCTCTTTACCAGATCGAGACCCGACATTTTCAGGCTTTCTGTTCACGTTATTGCCACTAGGAGTAGGCTCCTCATCGGAGGAGATCAACTGAAACCTTCTTAGAGGACTGGTAGTCAACTTTGGGAACACCAACCCACTGTGACTGGTCTCCAAGCTTGATGAAGCCGGTGTATTGAAAGGCATCCCCTTTTGCTTTGCCACTGACGACTGCCCTGATGATTGACCGGTTAATACTCCTGACCCACGAAGTGTAACTTTTGAACTACTACTGCATACAGAGTTGTGCTGGCGTGACGGAAGCATATCTGTTATTCAAAGGGAAAATTGGGGGAAATGATACACCTTTTTTAAGTCCTGATATCTCTCTGCCCACATGCACAAGAAAACCCTAATTGATAAGCTAATGATCGATCGGATTCTCAATTCAATCAAGGGTTCTAATTTCACAATTGATTAAGAAGGATAAAGCTCGGAAATTTACCTGCGAAAAAATCGTCGCCATCAGAAGAGAAATCTTCAATATCGTTCTCATAGGGAGACGAACCCAGTTCTGGTCCCAGCTTCGCTCCCTGCTCCACAGTCGCAGGTCCTCGCCTCAGGCGCTTGAGAATCCGCGGAGCTTCTGCCGGACCAGAAACCGGAGTCGCCTCCAGCTCATCTTCTTCGTTTTGTCGCTCCTCCTGGGAATCAATGACGAGAGAAGCTGCGAAATCCTTGTCCTCATCGTGTTCTTCCGGCAGTGCTCGGCAGCTCAGCGGGAGGGAAGGCGACGGTTGAGGAACTACCGATTCAGTTTCAGCGTCAAAATTGAGGTCGAGGTCGAAGCCGAGAGAGAAGGACGGGGGTTCGATTGCCATTTTCGGGTGCTATGGCAGGAGGAGAGGAAGCGGGTCCGGAGAGAGCTAAAAAAAAAAATGGTGCGACGAGACTTGAGGGTAGAAAAGGCGGGCGAAGTTTGGTGGCTGGTTTTCGAATTTTTGAAATTGGAGGCAAATCCATTTTCCATCAGGGCAAATCTACAAGTAATTAGGGAAGACAATGGTCGGGTTTGGGCCGGGTTTGCCTAAACCATCCCACCCCACTTTCAAATGAGTAACTGTGCATGGTCATGGGTAATACCCGCTCTGTACATCCAACATCATTATACCTAAAATTTTACGTGTAACTTTTCAATTACAACACTAAATAGACCTACTATATTATTAAGCTAACAGAGATACAATCATTCTTAAAACGGTTCAAATTATATGATCCTAAAACATCTATTAATCAATATGATAGAGCACAATGTTTTCCAAATTATTAGTTTCTAACTCTGATACATCTACTAAGTAATACTTAACTAACGTAATTATCTTTTGGGTTATAGGTATAATATGCCCATCTACTATGATGTTTTATCAAACATGCCCCTCTACTATTTTTTACATCAAATATGCCCCTGTACTTTGAAAAAATTATCAAACATGCCCTTCTGTTATAATTTCCATTGAAAAAATCGTCAATCATGGTTGAGTTGAGATTTAGACGACCCGGCATCGGCAAATGGGAGGGAAAAAGTCAGTTTTGTCCCCTGTTTTATTTCCCTGGGTCTTTTCAAAGTGAAATGATTTGAATGATTTGAATATACAAAAGAACCAAAAAAATTCTAAAGTGAATTTATTAGGGATATTTTAGTTATTTATGTCGCTCAAACTAAAGTTTGGCCTTGGTTAACAGTTTTTGGATGAAAATTTTAACAAAAGGGCATATTTGATATTTTTACAAAGTACAGGGGACATGTTTAATATAAAAATAGTAGAGGGGCATCTTTGATAAAACGTCACAGTAGAGGGGCATATTATACCTATAACCCTTATCTTTTTAACAAGAAAATAAAGTGAAAGAATGAAGGGAGACTTGACGTAAATGAATCAGATTTGGATTTGGGTGACCACTCAATTGCATTTCTATTATATATTGTCTTAAGTTACCTTCACTTTCATTGATAGGTTTCAATTTTATTCATGTATTTTTTATATGTGAAGAAATATTCTTGGTGGGGCGGGTATGGGGTATGGTATGGGGTGGGGTGGGGTGGGGAAGGTGAAAACCATACCTGCCCCATACCCATCAAACTTTTTGCGGGTTTTACCCATACCCGCTCCAGATCCATTCAAAGTGGGGATTCCTCGCGTTGACCGAGTGGGGGGCGGTCGGGTACCCACGACCATGGGTTTGATTCTCATCCTTACGTGTAATTACGCTGAATTTTAACTTAGATATTTCAAATCTTCAAGGATATGAAATCTTTCGTAATTAGTAAGGTTGACAACCTGGTTTAGCCTGTTGGCCTGATCGAGTTAGTGGATTAAGGGTTAATGGGTTGATCCGTTTTGCTCGATTTAGCCCGGATATAGAAAAATAATTATATTGTACATACATATATAAACTATATCAGATCTCATCTAACATATAAATAATAACATATAACATTGCACTAAAATAATAGCTCGTACTTGAATCCAACATCGTAAAACAACAACACTTAAATCCCCAATATACTTGTGAAAGCGTTATTATTTCATTAATTTTAATATTCATTTAAATAATTATAAGAATACCATATATATATATATATTAATATATTGAAAGAAGAAAACCCACTACATGCCCGTGCACTGTACGCACAGACTATTTTCGCTGTACAACGTGACTGAGTTGTACTGTTCTATCTTGGCGTGGGTTGGCGTGTGGGCGGACGTTGGATGTTTCTTATTTGGAATCGGATGGAGTTTGGCGTGGTCAGTTGGGATGGAACTAGTGTTACCTCTGGTTTGTCTATGTTTGGTTGGTGGGGGTCTCGATCGCGTTGGTCACACATGACCTTTCTGTACCCAAAGCTCATATGGGTGCATGGATCAAGGATTATTCAGTTTTTTTGGGTGGAGAAATGTGTATGCTCAGGGCCCATGTGAGCGACCTTCGTTGAGAAGGTGGGACTTTTGCCGGGTTTGAGGCTCGAGGTACTGGAGGGGACTGGGATGACTTTGAATTGTCCTTTTCAATTGCTCTTTCCAATCTCGAGTGGTTGCTTGCAGGTACTGGAGGTGACTGGGATGATTGTGACCTGGGTTTTGTTTACCAGAGAGAGGCTGTGAGAGTAGGGATTTCGCCTCTGCTACCTGAGTTCACTAATTTTTCATTTTTAAATTTTTTATCCTACCGCACAGCTTGCCTGACGGGCGCGTTGATCGATTGCTATTTCAATCATCACATTACGGTGCCACGCAATTAGGGATGGCAATCAAACCCATGGCCGCGGGTACCCGACCGCCCCATACCCAGTCAACGCGGGGAATCCCCGCTTTGACCGGGTATGGGGCGGGTATGGGTAAAACCCGCAAAAGGTTTGATGGGTATGGGGCGGGTATGGTTTTAGCCTCCCCCGCCCCATACCCATACCCATACCCGCCCCACCAAGAGAATTTCTTCACATATCAAAAAATACGTGGATTAAATTGTAATCTATCAATGATGATGATGATAACTCGAGAAAATAAATAGTAGAAATGCAATTGAGTAACCACCTTAATCAAAACCTAATTCATTTCCCTCAATTCTCCTTCCACTCTTTCACTTTCCCCCTTGTCAACAAAATTATGTTAGTTAATTATTACTTAGTAAATGTATCAAGAGTTAGAGCATAATAATTTAAAAAATATTATAGTCTATATTATGTATTAATGGATGTTTTAGGATCATATTCTTTGAATTGTATTTAGAAAATGACCGTGTTTTGTTGACTTCGTGATATAATAGGTTTGTTTATGGTTATAATTAAAACTTTTCTTGTAAGTTTTAGGTATAATAATGTTGGATGTACGGGGATGGGTATTACCCATGGGTACCCGAAACCCACGGGTATGGGGATGGGTTTGCAAAACATTCCCCCGCATGGGTATGGGGCGGGTATGGGTTTGGGTATTTGAAGATGGGGATGGGGATGGTTTAGGCAAACCCGCCCCAAACCCGCCCCATTGCCATCCCTACACGCAATTAGCCAAGGAGAGAGGCGAGCTTGGCAGAAGAATTCTGCTTTGTAAGAGGTCACATTTTCTTTGTCTGTTCTCTCTCCTCCATGTTCTCAATCTCAAAGCGTATCGATTCCTCTCTCAACCTGTTTTCCTCTTTCAAGCTCATGCCAGATCGACTCATTTTTTTTTGTTATGCCTTCACCGACGATGGGCGTTCTTCCCTCGACGGGATCAAGGGATTGTGATGTGTGGATCCATGATTCTTTCGCTGTAATTCTCTGTTTCTATATCTCTTTGTTTCTCAGTTTCTTTAGTGGGTAGATTCCAGATTCTTTCTAATTCTGAAAAAATATTCCAGATGCTTTTCTCTTTGTTCTGGGGTTTTGTTGGGCGATGGTGATATTACTGGCCTCTTAATCGTATAATATAATAATAATTTTTGTGTATGTTAACTTCTTTTTTCCTTGTGAGGATTAGGGTGTAGATCCACGTTGGAGAGGACCGCAGCGGATGGTGACTAGATTCTTCGAGGAGGCGAACCAAATTTGCAGATCCTATCGTTATAAGGTGAGATTTTGGCCTTCAACGTTTCTTCTTATTTCTGCTTTCTCTATCTCCCGTTCTGGTTTTGTACTCTCTCTTAACTTCAGTTCCTGATTTATACCTTTTCTTCTCTGTCATCAATCTCTTTTGTTGTCGGGGATATCTTATTTTGGTCGTCGGAATATCAGCGAATAGCAGCAGGACCAAGAGATGATTGAGTTGGAAAGATATCAAAGTGATTCCTAGGTTCGATTTAGTTTTAGCTTACCAATCTCTCTTTTCGTAGATGGTTCCTTATCTATCTTTCTCCGTTTGACATGTTTTTTAATCTTATCCAGAGGAAATATCGGCAAAGCGTTTGGTGTTAAAGATTTCATTCGTCGATCGTCGAAATATCTTGCCGCTTCTCTCCTCAATTGGATTTTTCCGCATAAGGCCCTAAATCCTAATCAATTCTTTTCTTTCTCCCTTTGTCACTCTCAGATGGGTAGCCGCGAGTACCGGAATCAGCAAAGTAATTGAAGAGATTAGAGAAGATCGACGATCTCAACCACCGCTACCCTACTTACCCTGAAACATTGTCGACGTCGAGGCAAGAAGGCGGTGGGTTCTTCCTAACCTTCACTGTAGGATGCTGAAAAGCTGATTCGACTCTCTCTCTCTCTAATTTTTTCGATCCTTTTTCATCTATGCAATGGAAGGATTCGAGAGATATGTAGATTCTTGGGATACGAGGCAGATCCCCATATTTGAGGTGATTGTGTTTCTCTGGTGAATCGTTTTTTCAATATTTCCTTGCTTTCTTTCTAATGTTAGTTCTTTCTTCTTGCTGGGTTTTTCGCAGGAATCTTCCTTTCATTGGCGTTGGTCCATTTTGCGTCTGAAGCATGGTTTTTGTTGCAGTCTTGGTGGGTGGTTTCTCCTTTTGTTATGGTCATTGATTGCCTTGCTACTGCCGTTGTATTCTCAATCTTGCTATAATGTTTGGAGACCATATTACCATGCTCTCCTCTATCTGGTTTTATTTTAAAATCTATTAAAATTTACCTTGATTTGCTTATGCTTGGTTTATTGTTCCTTTGTGAGCAGGTAATAGTTGATATCTCATGTCTAGGTTGTTGGTAAAGGAACTTTCTTCTGTGAAGTTTGTATGTGGCTGATAGATGTTTCAACTCTCGGGGCCATATTTTATTGCTTTGGTTGGTTTGAGAGCATTTCATTTGGACAATCAGGTGGTATATTGTGATGACGAGTTGAATGGGGATCATGCTCTTGGTGACTCTACAGTCAACCATGTCTAGCTAACCAGGAGCAGCAACTACCTTCTTCCCTGCATTTCTTGGAATTCATCTCTTTGTCATTTTAGTGTTACCTTTTCTGTAGATTATTCCTACCATGTTTTTGTATTAGTGCTAGCCATATTACCTGTAATTAGTTGTTAAGCTGTATCTTGATATGTTGTAAGGTCTTTCAGATTTTTTATTTTTAAGTACATGATTCATTTGTTGGAATGTTGGTACGTGATCATGATGGATTGAAGGTTCTATGGACCCAAATGTAAATCGTCATTCTCATTCTTATACAAATAGAAATTTTGATTGTTATTTGAAATAAAAGTTTGAAGTTCGATTCGGAGGAATCCAACGTCAGTTCTCTAATATTTCTGAATTTAAAATGACTTTGTTCTTCATATTGTTAATATTTAAAATAAATTATTCGTCTAAGAGTTTCACACGCTGAGACCAGTTGATACCGATTTCATGTACGAAACCTATTGTTGTCATGTGAGGATGAGAATTAAAATATATATTGAACATTGTATATTGACCAGATGAGAATACAACTTGATTCAGTTTTAATAGCATTCTGACATTGTGTTCAAATGGTAATCAAATGCAAGAGCTAAATTTTTACCTAAAAATTAATTTAACAATCCCACATATCCCCGCGCAAAGCGCGGGCAAAAACCTCGTTAATATATATAAGAAGCCAAATTTACATGGTACCATTATTTGTTTTAAGTTAAGAAAAGGAAATTACAATTTAAGTATAATTCCAATATATGTTAATTTGAGTTTCCTTAAAAGTTTTACTTTTGTTTTTCAGAAGTAAAAAAAAAATTACAATTTTGGTTGAGATAATTGCAGCGATGAAGGGTGGGCCCACAGGGCCTCCTTGCGTTGGGCAAATTCGACCATCCAACTCCACCTATCATATGATGATCACCCCCTGATCATATCATGGGGTAGTCAAATTTTGGAATAGATGGCAATAACAGTGCGTATGATGGTTTTGATATGGGTGTCATGAGTCCAAAAATTCAATCCACGTGACCCTTCTTAATTGCTTCTAATTATTATAATTAAGTTGGCCTTACAAAGTTATTTAACTCATTGTATTTAATCGATGTAGTACAAATTAAATTTTGGTGTAAACAGACGCCGAGACCAAAGTAGAATCAAAGTAGAATCCTCACGATCCATTGGACCTTTGTCGAAGAGCAACTTGACAATGGCAGCTACAGTTAGTTAGTTAGTAATTAACTAGGTAGACCAATCAACCAATTCCAACGTGCTTAATGAAGCGATTTGCATACATTGATATTTTGGGATCACAGTTACATATGTACTTTTCCTGAAAGAACACAAAAATTGCCAGGTTGTTGGTGCTGCGCAATGCGCGTATTCATAAATCATAATTCCCTCTCCTTCCCCCTTTTTGTTTCCACTTCTGACTAATTTCACCTTTAATTAGTAGCTTCAAACGCAATATTCTCAGCATTCATGAAGCAGAAGGGGGGAAAAGGACCATCTTGACAAAAACAAAAAGAACAACCATCACAACAATCAGCCTTTAACAAATGACCACGTAGATGAGAATCAACAGGACAAATTAGAATCCATAAAGTAAAAAGGATTAAAGAATCAAACATACTCCAAAAATGATATTAAATGCAATATAATATATTTCTAAAAAAGCGTGCCATTTGACGAATTAGTTCATGATATGGTATCAGTGTTTGCAAACGCAAACACTACGAAGTCTTGTATGCAAATTTCCATGATCCCCATATTCACCACCTATCTTCCCTTGTCTTCTTTACATCATACCAAAATTCAACCCCTCGCCATACTCAGTACAATGATGATCGCAAATAGGGTATCCAACCATTATATAGATTACAAGGAATCATTCCAAGCCAATAGACCCATGGTTATGTATATCCTTGATACATGTAAAGAACAACCCTGAACTAGAATATGTTGTTTAAGGATAACTGTTGTAGAGGGCCTTATGAACTCAATATCAAAACCTAGTGAAGACATCAAATTCTAATCCCCTTTTTTGTCCTAAATCAACAGAGCTGAGACCTATAACAGTAGTCATAGGAAAGATCAAAGAATATGTGTGCCCCCCCCCCCCCCAGCTTTCTTTATGAAGATTTCCTCTTTCCAACACAGTTTCTTCTAGACCGTTTCCCTTTAGCCAAACCCGACCAGTTCTCCTCATGCACTCCCTTGGCCTGCTGCATTCTCTTGTACTCCCTCGATCTAAGAACCCCTTCCAAGATGTTTATATCCTCACGGATTTCAAGTCTAGAAAGAGTTGCAATCCCAGGTAGTATCTCCTTCTGAAAGTCTTTCAATCTCCTCCCTCTTTTCCACTTAGAACCGAGATCCTTAACCTCGCCAAGGTCTGCTTCAAATGGCTTTGATGAAGATGCAGAATCCTCATCGTCCATGTTTTGTGTCAGATTCATAGCAATTAACTCGTAAGAATCAATAGAATACTGTGGCTTGGAATCTTCAAAAGGGGCTGCTGCCGCTGTGTCATCCAGGGCCAAATAGATCAGTGAAACAGCTGCTCTTCTCATCATGGCATCTTCCACTCTAGCTGGTTGCTCTGCTTGCTTGTTAAGGAGACCTCCATTTTCTCCATCACTAACAGACAGAGTTGCCCTTGCAGGGCAATTAATGTTTGACCCAGTGATTGAATTGGTTGTCTTAATGCTGCCCGAATTATTGTCAGAAATGCAGGACTTGCATGAAGAGGGCGACTTGTTGCCATGTAATGCATTTTGGCTCTCGTCAGTCCACATAGAAGAAGCCGGATTATCTACTCCACTTGTACCACAACTCATTTCTCCTCCATCCCTAGCAGGCATATGGTTCAAATCCTGTAGTAGGAGATTATTTGACTTCAGCTTGACAAGGTTAGTCTTGGTATCAGCGCAGCTGCCAGGGTCTTCAGAAGACTCTATCTGGGACTTAAAGCTACCAATTCTACCATCATCACAATCATTTTCCAGCTCGCAGCCCGTGCTCTCGCATTTTATGTTGAGGTCCAAAAGAGTAAGCTTTGATACATTATTATCTGCTCTACCACCAGATGTTTCATTTGATCTGCAGATGACTTGTTGTTTCCCTACCCCAACAGGAAGAATTCCTTCCTCCACACTACCAAGCAGTCCAGTGCATGCACCAGCAGAGTAAGAATCACCGCGGTATTCTTCGTTAAGGTCCAGAAACAATTGGCCTCCAGAGGAAATACCATTGCAAGAATCATCACGGGGACCTCTTTCATAATATAATCTTCTCTTCCCCTCATTTTTTGAGACTGTCAATTCCTCCCTGGAAGTTGATTGACAGACAGAACTGAAAGGTGTGCATCTCGCAGAGCTTTCTTGTGCCTTGTCAAGTGAATCTTCTAAATCAATCACAATTTTATTGTTCGGACGCCTGTTCTTATCAAACCAAGTGCTTGGCACACCATGTACATCAGGCATTCTAGGGCGTCTTGCATTATTGTCTTGCACTGGGTCTTCCAAATTTATCACCGTAGCATTATTCAGATGCCTATTTTGATCAAACCAGGTAGCTGACGTACCACGTGCATCAGGCATTCTACTGCACCTTGCATAATCATCATGTGTCTTCCCAACTGAATCTTCTAAATCAATCACAATCGGGTTGTTGTACAGATAATCATTCTTATCAAACCTAGTGCTTGATGTACCGCTTACACCATACATTCTAGTGCGTCGTTTGGTACCAAGAGAAAGCTTCAACTCGCCTTTATTCATACTAGAATTTCTATCAGTAGGAGGATGCTGGAAATTGGAAGGTTCTTTCAAGAGATTCCAAACGTTTCCTTTTTCTTGAAGGTCATCTCCTGACTGATGAATGAATTCATCGGCAGAAAGTTGGAGGTTTACTGATTTTTGCGTAGATTCCTCTAATATGTCCTGCTTTAGTGTATGTGTAGACCGTACCTGGAAGAAAAAATGCTCACATTCTAATATAGGACCACAGTATAATACATCTTGGTTCTTCAACTTGCAATAGAGTATTAGAGTACCACATGCCATTAATTATGTTCAAATAGCCAAGAAGTCTCCACCAATACTTCCATATCAGTTGTTATACCAGATTACTTTCTATGGCAACACAAGATGTGGTGGGAAGTTACCTCGGTAACTGATGAAAACCGTGCTTCTTTAGCAAGCAATTCGTATCTCAAGGCATCTTTGGGAGGTAGGAAACATGACCGAGCTTTCACATTCCTTGAATTGTAGCTACTTCCACACTCGTTATTATCAACAATATCCATCATGAGTGATCTCCGTGTTTTTGATCGACGATGGAGTTCTCCATGGATCTGACGAGATGATAGAAAGCAAGAGAGAACCATATGTGAATAGTGGAAGATCCGAATATCAAATAGTGTAACAATGATCATGCTACTTTTTTCTGACAGAATTTGAAAATATTTGATTTTAGCAAAGTGAAACCAAGCAAAGTATTCATTTTCTCATGTGCAAAGGTTCCCGCACCAAGAATCATGGCTCGCGGCAAAGCTAGCATATCACATTGCGAACAACTAGAATAGACATTGAATAATCGCCAAGAAATCGATCATCCAGAATAGAAAATCATACTTGAGGGTTATACATAGCCTCCCGTTTGAGCATTGCCTGCTGAACAAGTACTTTAAGCGGGTCTGTGTGCCTTGGCACCGAACTCAGATCAATATCTCCTGGCATCAGCATTTTGCTACCCAGAAATATCAACTTCAATTATGATCACTGATCAGCAACAACAGCTACTCCCAGCCTCCACATTCTGCACTTGGAATCCACTACCCATCCTGCAACAAGTTTGGAAACAAATGCTAGTCAACAAGACGAGCATTATCTTCAACGCAATCAAAAGGAAACCAACCAGCACATCACTGAAACTAGCATATTACATAAACCCAATCACTCTCAATAAGAATGAAGTCTGCTACAGAACCTAGAGACCCCAATTCAGCAACTGCAATGCTGAAAAGTGGGTGAAGAGAATCATTCCATTTCATACATCAAAACAACGTTTAATCTTCAGTAGTGTCAATAAAACCCATCTAGAAAACTCAATTCCCCTCTGAAACAAAGTAACAAACCATTTACAAGTAGACAAAAACAGCTTAGGTTGCAGTCAAGCTGGCCGAGGCAAAACAAACCTAAGCACTCCGCCCAATCGGATTTTGCAGAAACGGTAGTGCACTAAACGCCGATGAAGCCGCCTAAAACGGATCAATCAATCAATCAACCAACCCCTGTTGTACGGAGAGACTAACTCAATGCACAGCATGAAAACGGCCGGAGACGGAAATCTCTAAAAGATAAAACCCAAAACAAGAAAAAGAAATGAAACGGTCGATGTAATGCTAGTAACTCGTCGTCGTCCCCGCGACATTGTTAGCCGGCAATACAGAGTTTCGCGAAGCTATGGCTCTCTCGTTAACCTACAAATGGGATACTGCCGAAAGAAACTAACAAAAAAAATGGAGGCGACCCCAACGAATGAAAAGCGATGGAAAAAGCAATCAATAGGAAAGAATCTTGACTTTGATCTCCTAATCACGCAACTGTTTTTTGTTCTCTGAAACAAAAACAAACAAAAAAATTCCTAAAAACTGTCCCTGGAAAGCAAGCAGACCCAAACCAACGTACATTAGATCGAGAGTGAGCGAGCTTCATCGCTTCCTTCCGCCATTTCTCCTCATCCAGCTACAGAGGAAGAAGAAGAGCGAGACGATACCAGAAACAGCTCAAATCCCGAGAACGTGGCGAGGAAACGAGATTAGGAATGATGGAGCATTTTTAGACAGTCTGGGTCTGGGTTAATGGAGAAAAGGACATGGCAGAGAGAGAGAGAGAGAGAGAGGAAGAGTCGGGATGGGAATAACAAAGGCGGAAGGAGGCAGGGAGAGAGAAAATAGCTGAAGATGGTTTTTTCAGCGGATGGGAGAGAGGGAGGAAGAAGGGTTAGTTGGAGACGAATAAGGAGAGAAGAGTGGAGACGGGAGAAAGAAGATAGACAGCCAGCCTGCAATCTCTGCTGCTAAACCCCTCTTTTTTCTATTTTGGCCGGCTAAGCTCGATCTTCTTCCTCTTCTTCGCAGAAGGAAGAAGAAAGAGAGAAGGGGAAGAGGGGAAGGAGAGTGAGTGTGGGGATCATCATTTTACAATTTCTATATGGGCATGCTATTTATGTTAACTGCCCGCCTGTCACTTTCTCCTCTCTCTCTCTTTTTCCTATGTGGGTCAATTACAATTACATCTACGATGGCACAACTTCTAGTGAGTGACTAATAAGACTAGGGGTGGAAAAGGAGTGGAAGTACGGTATCGGTATCCCAATACCAAATACCGAAATCTCGAATACCGAATTACACCTTTAAAATCAATCTCAATCCCAATCCCTAAATTATTTCGGTATCCCAATCTCAATCCCTAAATATTTCGGTATCCCAATCGGTACTTCGGTATCCCAATCGGTATTATCGAATACGAAATTAATTATCTGTGCAATTAATAATTAAATATATAAATTAGATTTTATTGTTTAATTTAGGGGAAAAAGACTAAACAAAGAGTTTTGAATTATGATATTATTAAGGAGAATGGAGGAGAGGAGACATCTCAAGTTCTTGTCATTGATAATCTTTAATTTGACGAATTGGAGGTTGGGAGACGACTATTAATAGTGATCGAATGATCTGTATATAATTAAATGACACTTTTGGTGGTTGAGGGTCATGTAATAGTAAATGAGAGAGTCTAGTTGAGAGGATAAAATAAAAACTAGCTAATATTTCGGTATTGATCGGTATTTCGGTATATCCAGATCCCAATCCCGTAATCCCTAATACCGAATAACAATTGAAATTCAATCCCAATCTCAATCCCAAGAAATAATACGTGTATTCGGTAATACCAAATATAGACAAATTCGGTACGGTATTCGGTATAATCCCAAATAATGGTACCAAACTTCCAGCCCTAAATAAGACCGTCATTCAATTTTTAGTTTAGTGAATTTGTTCACACTAACGGATAAAATCGTCAATTTGATTATTAATATTAATATGCTTTTTTCTAATGAAGATAACGGATGATCGTGTCGTGTCAACTCGTTATGTATATTGACTTTTAGAAGTCCGACATAAGTTTGACATGTACTACCACTAGGGGTGGGCATCGTTGCGGTTTGGACCGCATCGCACCGCATTGATATAAACCAAACCGCACCGCATCTTAATTGGACCGCACCGCATGTTCTACCGCGAAGTTATCGATGCGGTCAAACCACACCGCATAAATTAGCAGTTTGGTGCGGTTTGGACCGCACCGCATCTTGACCACAATTCATTATGGTTTATACATTTTTAAAGAACATCGACTCTATTTCCTGTCACCGAAAAAGAGCAGTCCTACAGTGTGAAAAAGTGAACTCAAAAAAGAATTTCGCAACAAGAGAAGTAATACGAGTTCTGTCCAAAACTTCAACAGCAATGATCCAATATTGGTCTGTCCAGAACTTCAACAGCCATTTTGCTGATGAGTGATAACTATAAGGAGAAAATGAGTGTAGTAGATTGTCAAACAAAAACAGAGAACCCATTATGCCGAAAGGAAAACAATAAACCATTACATAGCAACATCCTAATTGAGGAGAGACTGATTTTAGCTGGGTCTCTGCGTACAGATGGATGATTTAACAACAACAAAGGAAATGAGTATAGTGCATAAAAGCTAATTTAGATTCTGGCATGGTCATTACAGCTTCCTCAATCAATTAATTAATAAAACGGGAAGCTCTCACATGGTCATTTCCTAGCCAATTTAGATCTCTAATGGGGAAAAAGCATGACTTTTGTTTCTCGGAGGATACTGACATGAACAAATTTCCAACTTGTTTTTTATAGAAATCTGACAGATGACCGCACAAATCTCTTTCTCGTTCGGTGGCTCGGTTGCAGCCTTGGCGGAGGTGCGATGGAAAAGGGAGAGGAAGGTAGGGATTTGAGATACGCCAAATCAGGCGACATCTCGAAGCGGAAGCGCATCCATCTCTAGACGGATCGGGAGCGGAAGTGTGGCCAGCCCTAGCAAGCTTGCAAGGAAAGGCGGCCGTCGCAGTGAAATGATCAGCGATAAATGAGATCCCTTTCTTCTCTTTACGAACGATTCGGAAAAAGCTTAGCGGTTTGCGGTTCCGGACCGCAATCGTGCAGTTTGGAAATAACCGTCCGCAAAACCATTAACCACTTAATGAGCAAACCGCATTCAGACCGCAATCTTATTGGTGCGGTTTGGATTGACCATAAATGCGGTTTGGTGCGGTTCGGTCAAACCAATGCCCACCCCTAACTACCACGATACATCACATGAAATGTTTCGTCCTATAACTCATGCTTCTATACATATTGTCGTATGTGCTATCAAATACTTAATGTTACCAAACCAACTAACAAGGTGTCAAAGCTAAAGCATCGGTTATCTGATGCAGAGCATGGTTGACTAGTCACTGTTTTTCGAGACTCATGCTTGATGGTTGTCGTTTATAAACGATAAAAAAAACTTTAGCACACAAGCAAACTCTGGCAAGTAGGGGCTCAACGATGAGTTAGTTGGCCTCTTGCCTTTTATTTGATCTCATGTGTGAGCAGAAATGTGACACACATCTCTTTATACCACCCCAAAACTCATATCCTTCTCATCTCGACAGGTTGGATTTTTCATACATGTCCATGCACTTGTGACTTCAAGCAAATGCACATACTCATTCTCTATCAAAAGTCGAACTTGTAATATGATCCGCTAATCTAATCAACATTCATGTCGGGTGTGCTCTCTTAACATCTCAAATAGAAACTCCAAGAGTTTTTTATTCAAGAGTTTGATCTACTACGTACTAGTGTGAGAATTATAATATTCGCAACGTTTTGTATTTAATCGTCGAAACCAGCAACCTTATTAAAAATAAATCAAATAAACACAAACATCAATTAGATAAGCCTTTCTTCACATCCCACTCAATCACTAAACTTCTAAAAAATTAGACTTTGAACATTTTCATCAATCCACTCTTTCTCCCCCCTCCCTAGTCCCTCCCTCAACCCCGGTGCATATCTCCCACTCAGCTTGCCGGGTCCGGGCGGCAACACAGCCAGAGCCTTGTCCGCCGGTTGATTCATTTCCTAGCACATTTTTTTTAGAGGGTTACTATTTGCCGCCCGTCTCATTACTATTTGCCGCCCGTAAATTAAACTAAAATGACATTTTTACCCTTTGTTCATTTTTTATAAAACAAACTCCATTCCACCACTACTGTCGCCGGCGCCAATCCACCACCGCCGCCAAATCGCCGACGTCGCCACCACCTCCAGATTACTACCGCGGCCAGAACCAAATCACCACAGCCGGCGGGAGGCCCCGTCCGACGCCGGCGGGAGGACCCCGTCCGACGCCGGCGGGAGGACCCCGTCCGACGCCGGCGGGAGGACCCCGTCCGACGCCGGCGAGCGGACCGTGCATTAGCGACGGTTTCAAAACCGTCACAAAATTCGTCGCTAAATGATAATAATTATTTAACTCAATCTTCTATTTTTTTTAATATATATCATGCTAATAATTATATGTATGTTTATTAATTATATTTATGAATTAGAAAAACTAAAAATTATTCATAAGAAAAAAAATTAAATTATAAAAATATTGTACAAACTAATTCATACTTATTTTATAATTATGTAAGTAGAGCTAAAATAAATAAATTCAGTATAATAGCAATTAAATAATTATAGTATGTTAATTAATTACAAATGATCTGAAGTAGTGTATAAGAAAATGGATATTTAATCATAAATTATCATAAATATTGTATAAACTTATGAATAATTCATTTTAATTATGTAGAATAGTTATAAAATATTTATAAATTTTGATTAAACCTTTTTTTAATTGTATTTATTTCATATTTAATAAGATCATCGTACCTAAAATATGTTTTATAAAACTTCCAAGGAATCGAGGCACGAAGAGGACTCTTTGCGGCTCGGGGAAGGTCGGGCAAAAACATCTTTTACAAATTACTAGAGTCACCGACATGAAAAAATATTGAAACTTTCATCGATCTCTTAAAATGTGGATACAAATGTGTTGGAATCGATTGTTTATCAATCGGACATTCCCGACAAAAAGAGATGAATAGTGCCAAAACTTTCATCGAGGTGTTTTTAGGGCTCTGGGGGTGGTAACTAGGAGTTTCTTGAGCCTATCACGTATATTTCCACGAGATGAAATATTATTGTTAGTGGAGGAAGAGATGATTTTGCCTCTAAAATAATTTCCTAGTAGGATTGGATGGATCGAGGTTGAAGGTAGCTATTCAAGGGGAATGAGGGTTTAGGGTTTCAGAGGAGTATAAGGTATAGGAGGTGGATGAGATGCTTTCCTTCTTTATTGTCATTATTGGTCCAGTTGAGTCGAGTTGATTCTTATTGTTGTTATCCGTCATCTTGGGTGAGATTATTTCAACTGTGGTCAAACCCTAATTAAGTCAAACCCTAATTCGAATCAAACCCTAATTAAGTCAAACCCTAATTCCCTCAAACAACTATGGTCAAAATAATATATAATTTAGTCAAACCCTAATTAAGTCAAACCCTAATTATATCAGACCTTAATTTGGGCCAAACCCTAATTAAATCAAACCTTAATTCAGGTCAAACCCTAATTCGGGTCAAACCCTAATTAAGTCAAACCCTAATTTCCTCAACCAACTGTGGTCAAATAATATATAATTTAGTCAAACCCTAATTCAGGTCAAACCCTAATTAAGTCAAACCCTAATTCCCTTAACCAATTGTGGTCAAATTAACAATTATATACTAATTATTCAACTATCAATATTAAACTAATTAAGATACTAACAATTGTATTTAAAATAAATCTAATAAATATTTATTTAAACCGAACCATTCAAACCGAATCATAAACCCAATCAGATCGGTCCGACCAGACCGGGCGGACGGGGTCCGCTCCGGCCAGTCGGACCGCGTCCGCTCCGGCTAGTCGGACGGCGTTCGCTCCGGCCAGTCGGACGGCGACTGAAAAAAAAAATAAAAAAAATTCCCTCTGCCGAGGTTGGTGGCGGCGAGAGTGAGCGAGGAAGTCGGCGGCGGCGGAGGGAGGAGTCGGCGGCAGGAGGTTGGCAGGAGGGAGGAGTTGGCGGCGGCGGGAGGTCCGGCAGGAGGAGGGTCGTCGGCGGCGGGCGGTCGACAGGAGGAGGGAGGGTTGAAGGGGGCGGCAGCAGATGGGTTGAGGGTGGGATAGGGTTAAGGGCAAAATCGTCTTTTTTCTTCTAACTACGGGCGGCAAATAGTAAAACTGCGGGCGGCAAATAGCGATTCATTTTTTTTAACAGCATGTTACTGTGGGCGGGGCTGTTCCTTTTGCGGAGCAGTCACTTTTCCTACTTTCTATGCAAATTGCCAATTGCACTTTCTGCTAACCGATGGTGACAGTTTCAACTGCATCAAAAGCAAACATGGTAAACTTCACTTGCAGAGATTGCATATGCCATGCCCCTCCCTGTCCATGAATTAAAATTCCTTTGTTTACCACTTTGTCCCTTCACAAGTGATTTTTCTTATCTGCTTCCACTCCCTTTTTTCGCATCATTATTACCATGTCGATACCAAGTCGGAAACCCTGTGCGAATGTATAATAGCACATAAAGCCGCACCTCAAACCAAACGATGAATTCTGAAACGGTGCATTTAGTCCATGAATTGGGATGTGACTCATCAAAAGCCATAATCACTAGTAAAAAACAAAGGGCTCCTTATCTTATTGATTGATCCCATGATTTAGAACTTCGGGACAATAATTACGATTTAAATGGCATAGGTTTTCTATGAAGCAAGTTTGAATATAAACGCATGATGAAGATAGCAGTGATGCTTGCTTCATTTGTTGCTTTTAGGATCACATTTTTTTCATATACCTTCTCAGTTTTCACCTCATGGATACTGATTGTATCTTGATGAAGACGAGACAAGACAACCTCATTTTATTAGGACATAAAGGTTGAGATGCAATTTAAACCTCATGTTACCTATTTTTGGCATGACATGTCCAACATTTCACATATCTATACATAATAACAAAATAATTTTCTAAAAGTAAAATGGGATGCAAATGTACAGTTTTGGGTTGGTTGAGAGGACTGTCCAAACCGATTGAACCGAGCAGCCAGAAAATGACATTGTCTTAGGTTGCTTGGACTGAATTTTCCCTGCCCAATTAGTCTGAATGTGCAAACCTTACATTTATGAATTGACTTTCATTTTTTTTTTTTGGATACCAAGGGAGGCCGAAGCCAAGAAAAGAAGGATTACAGAGAGAGACTAGCTAGTATAGGAGGAGGTCGCCACAACCCGGCGCTCAAAGGTAACACCCATCATGTCATCTTGCAGCAGCGTGATAACCCCTACAGGTGGATCAACCAACTCATACATACCGTAGGGATAGACGAGACTGTGCTTCGAGAGCCAGTCCGCGACTCTATTCCCTTCGCGATAGGTATGAGTCAAGCTAACCAACCAATCTTGCCCGATTTTCCTGCGGATAAGGTTCAAGAGAGTCGCATAAGGATGTATGGGATCGTGACGATCCTGAATCAACTGAATCGCCAGTTGAGAATCCGAAGCTAGCTTCACCACCCGGTGACCGAGATTCCAAGTGAGCTCCAAACCATAGTAGATGGCCCACAGCTCAGCCAGCACAGCAGTTGCCGTGCCAATACCTGCCACAAAACCTCCCAACCAGTTCCCCAGAGGGCCTCGCACCACCCCACCAGCACCGGCTGGCCCCGGGTTTCCCTTAGAAGCCCCATCCGTGTTTACCATAACCCAACCTTCCGCAGGAGGCATCCAACCGATGTCCGCCATAACCCGCGCAGTCTCTTGCTTCCTGAGATTAGCGAAGGGGTCTGGGGCATGCCAGGAATCATTCCAAAGCTTACTCTTAACCATAATGGAGTGCCAGAGCGAGGGAGCAGTCATCGCTGCACTAGGCCCCTTGAACGCCATAGTGGTCCGGTTTTTCCATAATAACCAGCATGCCATGCTGAAAAAACCAGGCCAACTAATACCTGAGCCGGTTGACTCCTTGCTTAAGAGATTACTGCGGAACCAACACTCGTGAGCGGCGCTGAAGAACTCCTGCTGATTCTGCTGAGGCACACTTCTAGACCAGAAGAAAAGCGCTGGGGCGCAGTCCCTCAGGATATGAATAACTGTCTCAGGATGCCCTGTACATCTCACACACATATGTGAATCCGCTGACTTCCTCTGGGAACGGAGAACGTTTGTTGCTATCTTGCCCTGAATAGCCAACCAAATAAAACACCTAACCCTCTCCGGCACTGGCAAGCTCCAGATCACCTTCCAAATCTCATCCCTTAGCTGCATGTCAGGAGTCGACAGTAACTCATAGGCTGACTTGGTAGAGAACCTTCCATCCGCTGCCGCCGACCAGAATAAAGTATCCTCCTCTTGGGCGAGAGTGTCAACAGCTGTACTGATAATTTTGTTGCAGATATCAAGGGGGAGTAGCCCCAATTGACTTTCATTTTATTGGTATGTAAAAAAGTATTATAAAATACATATATAAATCTTTCTCCACAACTTAAATTATTAGGACCAATGAATTCTTAATTAATACAAGTAACAATCATGAACAACTATTTTATATGAATTCGTCCATGACAATTTGCTATTAGTTAATATTTGTTAGTAAGATAGTATCAACGTGCCAATATTTGAAAATAAAAAAGGTTGTTAGGTGAGAGAATGACAGAACATTTTGTAACTGGAAATCAGCAACGATAACACATGAACCATCACCACTGTACCAAAATTAAACAAAAATAAACTAACATAATTAGATCAAGAATCTTATTAATAAATTTGCATGAATAGTCGAAGCACAAAAATAAAATTAATACTCTATCCAATAATGACGATTAATACTATACCCTATCCACTATATATTTTATAAAGCTGGTGTGGTGGATAATTAAATGGTTTGGATTAATGCTGATACCAAAATTAGGACTATGACTAGGACAACACTAAAGCCTAACTTAAAAGCCAGACTCCCAAATCTTAATATTTCCCGGTTCATCGGGCTGATTTGGGCCCCACTCAATACGGCATTCGAGTTGATTTGCACAATTCGACATTTCTCGACTCTTTTGATACGATTATGAGTGTATCCTGAGTACTGTGAGGTGTAAATTATTTTGCAGCGTGGTTTTTGCGAGATGTAAAGTGTGCGCGTTAATAAGCTTGCAATACAAGTGTACCACATACAAACAACTTTAATAAAAGTTTTCAGAAAATGAAACATCATAACAGGCACCAGTGGTCTAGTGGTAGAATAGTACCCTGCCACGGTACAGACCCGGGTTCGATTCCCGGCTGGTGCAATTTTTTTTTTCCTTTTTAACTGGGTCAGTTACAGAATGGTCACTGAATTTTCATTTTGAACCAAGTTTACCATTTAACTTTGCAGGTGGTTATTCCACTATCATTGTTACCTAAACATAATTCCCTGCCATTTCACTTGTGTTGTTGCTTTACTTATGCAGCAGGAACATACAAAGGTTTCATTAACTAAAAGTTTACAACGAAATTATCCAGCTGAACCATTCCACTGAGTTTGAATATCCAACATTCAAATCGTGCGTACTTTTACTCGTTATTGTAAGAAACTAGATAAATGTTTCATTTTTAACTGGGTCAGTTACAGAATGGTCACTGAATTTTCATTTTGAACCAAGTTTACCATTTAACTTTGCAGGTGGTTATTCCACTATCATTGTTACCTAAACATAATTCCCTGCCATTTCACTTGTTCCTCAACTGTGTTGTTGCTTTACTTATGCAGCAGGAACATACAAAGGTTTCATTAACTAAAAGTTTACAACGAAATTATCCAGCTGAACCATTCCACTGAGTTTGAATATCCAACATTCAAATCGTGCGTACTTTTACTCGTTATTGTAAGAAACTAGATAAATGTTTTTGTTTATAATTAATTTTGGTTATCGTTGATATACTTAGTATCCATATTAATAAATAATAATTATTTACCATTTCAAATGTGGAATAGTGGATTGAAGGAAGAAAAAAAATCATAGTTGGTTCAAATTTCTAACTATGAAAAGAAAGAAAAATAGTTCAAATACTAATTTATACTAATGCCATAAGTAAGTGATTATTTCAGATATTTTCTTCTATTTTTATCCGTCTATAAAGTTGGCAGCGGTCTTGCTCATCATTCTGCACAAACAACACCGCAAATGGCGGAACCATCGCAGGCTCCGTCTCCGCCGATTCCCCGGCGAGTCAACGCAGCCGTCATAGGAGCCGGACCAGCCGGCCTCGTGGCGGCTCGAGAGCTCCGCCGTGAGGGCCACAGCGTGACGGTGTTCGAGAAGGGATCCCAAATCGGTGGCACCTGGGTGTACACGCCCGAGTTCGAATCCGATGACCCGCTCGGCATCGACCCGACCCGGCCCGTCGTCCACTCCAGCATGTACGAGTCGCTCCGGACCAATCTGCCCAGGGAGGTGATGGGATTCATGGACTACCCCTTCGTCGCCGGCGGCGGCGGCGGCGGAGGCGTCGACGCCGACGGGAGGAGGTTCCCCGGCCACCGGGAGGTGCTGAGGTATTTGGAGGAGTTCGCGAGGGAGTTTGGGATCGGCGAGGGGATCGTGAGGTTGGAGAGGGAGGTGGTGAATGTTGCGCCGGTGGAGGACGGCAGTGGCCGGAGCTGGAAAGTGACGTCGGTTAATAGTAATAACAAGGAGGCGGTGGAGGAGATGGAAGAGGAAGTTTTTGATGCGGTGGTTGTGTGCAACGGCCATCACTCCCAGCCTCGAATTGCTGACTTCCCTGGTAATAATAATTTTACATTTCCCTCGTTAAATAATTATCACTATCAAAATTTAAATACCTTTAATTTGCATATATTTATTGATGTGTTAGCCCGATTCCTTATTTTGTCATGCACTCTTTTTAATTGTATATTACGTGGAGTGAACTAGTCAATTTGTCATGTTGCCTAGATTAATATTAAAAAGTTGTGCCGTGGGATATAAATTACAATTAGGTAATATGCCGTCTCATTAATCATACTCCAAATTCAATTGGATCGAAGCTAAAATTACTATTGTACAAAATATGTGGTAGTTAAAAATTCTATCATCCAAACCATATGTTCCAACAATATTACTATGTATAAAGCTAGAACCATTTTACTGTTCCCTAACAACTATGTTAATCTGTACTACTGTCATCTTATTGTTCAAACATTTTACATCCCGCAACAAATAAGGGGGAAAACAACAAAGTTGAATGTCCCATTAAGTAGCAGCTACTGAAAAAAAAGAGAAATCAAAATAAAAGAACCACCTATTACACAAAAATTAAAGAGACACAAAGGAATTTTAACTAAAACTGAACTAACCAGTAAAATTGTGAACCATTTACAATATTGGATTTGATGGGTCAGTGTGATTGAGTGTTAAACTACAAAACTACTCCTCTATTTTAGTGGTTCATTTTTTTTGCGCAAAAAAAAAAATTCAATCATTAAAAATAATGTGGGGGCGCGAAAATCTAATTGATTACCATAATAATTTTTTCATACTACCTTTTTGTTTCATTTTTCAGTTGCCCTTCGTCTCCCTTTCTTTATTCTCACATTTCGCTTCTTCGCCCAACCTCAATTAGTATTTACACATGTATTCTGATTTACAAGTATGAATATTTTGATAAAACTATTCACCAACAACTCTATAAAGATTTATAATTCAAACATGAACTTCTAACTTTCCAGGCCAATATTGGTAGACTATCGTTTTCTTTCTATTTCTTTTTGTGGGATTTGAAAACGTGAAATTTTAAGTTGAGTTTTACTTTTTATTCCTTTTGATTCTCCAACTATAGCTTTTTCTTCTCACTTGAGTTAAAATTTCTACAATTATACATGAAATTTCCAGTTATATATACATATCAAATACACTATTGTAAAGGGAATCAAATTTCAACCGGCAACCAAAACAACTCAATAATTGACCAGCTCGCGGCAAAGTGCGATTCGAGCCTAGTATTCATATAAAAAGCAATCTATTGCCAAATCTCTATCTTGATTCTTGGACCATTTACATACAATCCAAATGAATTAGGTAGTTGGATTTGTAACTTAATGAAGAAATGGGAATTGTTTAACGACCGGCGGCTAATGAAAGCTACAATCAACATTGCTATAGTCTTGTAAGTATGGTTAATTTGTACCGATACAGTTCGTTCCTGGCTACCTCCTAATTTTCTTGGTTGCTACTTACAACAAGCTAAGTGTGTTTAATTATTCACTCTGCAGGCGTCAAGTCGTGGCCTGGAAAGCAAATCCATAGCCACAACTACCGCACACCTCAACCCTTCAAAGACCAAGTGAGCAATGCATACATATACATATATCCATCCATTGTATTTGTAAAAAAGAATGTGTCGTTTCTAAATTTTTTTCCCCCTATCTCTAGGTCGTGGTACTGATAGGCCACGCCCCCAGCGGAGCTGACTTGTCCATCAACATAGCCGGAGTCGCCAAACAGGTCCACGTTGCTTCCACAACAGTAGTTGATCCTAACAACAACAACATCAATTACCCATCCCAAAGCCACCCTACCTTTCCCAACATCTGGATTCATCCCATGGTACGTAGCTACGTTACATGCACAACTCACTAATCAACTCATATATATTATAGTTGTTGCATCAACAATTCTCTTTTTAAAATATATATGAAAATTTCTGCAGGTAGAGAAAGCTTGTGGAGATGGAAGTGTAGTCTTCCGAGACGGCGTGACTGTCTTCCCCGACATCATCATCCACTGCACCGGCTACACGTTCCACTTCCCTTTCATCAGAACGGCGGGAATCGTGACGGTGGAGGACAGCAGCGTGAGGCCGTTGTACAAGCACGTTTTCCCGCCGGCATGGGCTCCGGGGATCTCCTTCGTCGGTCTCCCACACAGGGTTTGGTTATATTAATTATTATTATATATGTTTTCATTACATCGTCCTATTATATCCTATGAACACAAGCGCGCACGCAGATAAAATATGTTTTTTTTTTTTTTTGTGTATGCAAAATAAAGACGCTCCTATTCCCACTGTTCGAGCTCCAGAGCAAATGGATCAGCGGCGTTCTGTCGGGTCGGATCTCGCTCCCGTCGGAGGAGGAGATGATGAGGGACGCCAACGACTTCTACTCCGCCATCCAGGCTGCCGGTGTGCCGACGAGGCACACCCACAATATGCTTGCCACCGCTGCCTTGGTAATAACTAATTAATGATTGGAACATGAATTAAGTTTCAATACGAAAATCATATATATATATATATATATATATATATATATATATATAGAAAAGATGAAACGCAAGTCGTTTTGATTTACAGATTCATATTGTGTATGTGTTGGTTTTGGTGTTTTTTTTAGGAGGGCGACGACTACAGCGACTGGGTTGCAGCACAGTGCCAATGTCGAGGCGTCGAGAGCTGGAGGCGAGGAATGTTTCTAGCGTCACGTAGCAACGGTCAGGCTCGTCCCGAAACGTTTCGTGACGAATGGGAAGACGGCGAGCTCGTCATTGAGGCTCACCGCTATTTCGCCAGTTTGAAACCATAAAAAAAGGCTTCGAGTGAACCTCAGTTTTAGCTCATTGTAATCTTCTCTAGTTCAGTTCGTCGAAACCATGGTGGATGAAATGTTTGTGTTAAAAGAATGATTGATTACCCTTTTGTCATTTGAGTCTTCATAATAGGCACCAGTGGTCTAGTGGTAGAATAGTACCCTGCCACGGTACAGACCCGGGTTCGATTCCCGGCTGGTGCAGATTTAGTTTTTTTTTGTGCCGCTTTTGAATGGGCAGCGTGCACAAAAGAAGGAACCAAGCCAACTCCATAAGCTTTCAAGTTTCACCTAACTAGCGCTAACTTCTTGATCACCCCATTCAATGGAAGTATAAACGCCCTCTCCAATTGCATTTATGGATCACTAACATTTATGGATCACCCCATTCTTGGTTACAATTCCATAAGAAATGGAAATGGATTTCCATTCCCAATTCTAACTTTTATGGAATTCCATTTCCAATATTTGTGTTTGGTATAATTCCAACAACTATGGAAATGAATTGTATTCTTTAACAATCATTAATGATTTAGTAGATTTTTTTATCTTGGGAAATGAAATATGGATGAGAGAGAAAGAGAGAAATAAGATAGTGGAATTATAAAATAATAATAAATATGAATGGGTCCCACTAATTCCATCTCCATAAACCCAATTCCTATCACTTTTGATAGGAATTCTAATTTCCAATATTTTAGTCAAATGGAATTCATTTCCCAACCTTCTTACCATTCCAAACATGAAATAATGAAATAGAATTGGAAATGGAATTCCAATTCCTGAGTTTTTTGTCCATCCAAACAGGCTGTAAGCGGGGAATGATCTGAAACTCATATGAAAAGTTGAAAACAGACTTTTTCATGTCAATCATCGGATTTGGCCTCACTCAAAATAGAACTATAGGTTATACATTTAATTTGTGCCCACGACCGGTGAGCATCATGCATTACGATTTGTTGGTTTGGGTAATAGCCTGCTTCTCATGGAAAGGGACTTTTAGACTCTGGCTACAATTTTCTGTTGAAAGGCTTTACATAATGATTCCCTTCTTGATCTTCCACTCACAATAGAAAATAGGGGATTTAATTATTATATTGACGAGAGAATGAGGGAGTCTTTATTCTTTAACACTGTTTGCTTTCTCTTTCTCCTAGGGTTAAACAAATCAATACGTATTTAATATATATAATTTTTTGAAAATAAAATCTCAATGTATATTATATATAATTTTCAATAAAGCTATGACAATCGACAAGCTGAAGCTAGTGGTCAATATGATAAAGTACATAAAGATAAATTTTTATTGTCGTTTGACAATCTCTCCGTAATTTTGGTTGGAACTTAATTAATAACAAATTTAGCAAGTGATCGCATATAAATCTCTGAAAATAAATATAATTTTAATGCTTAATGTTCATTAAAGATAATGTAGAATGTGCTGAATAACCATCGTTTTAAGGAACGTGGTGAACAACTCTATTTATTTTATACAAAGCAAAGCGACATTATATCATCTTAGCATATTATTTGTATTTGGATAAAAAAGCAGTAATATTAGAGTTTCACTTAGTCTTCTTATAAAAAAAGATAGCATATCATCTCATGTAAATATCTTTCTCTCATCATAAAGATGTCGATGCTATCGTGCTATAGCTCCTCTTTACTAGGGGTAGCTATACGGTCCGGTCTGGTTAAATTGGCCCAAATTGATCCGGTCCAGTCCGGTTTTTTTGAAAATATAAGGACCGAAGATTGGATTGGATACAGTCCGGTCTTGACCCGGTCCGGTCCCAATTCGGTCTTGATTTTATATTGAGATTGTGGGAATTTGAGTGGCCTAATGCCTAAAAGGGTGAGGAGTTGGTTAAGTTTTGTACTAAGTGCAAAGGTTTGTGACCGTTTATGCAAATTACCCTTAAGTTTTGGGTGTTGAGCTCTCTTATCCGGTCTTTATCCGGTTTTTTACCTCAAATCTAAGCCCAAAGATTGGATTGGATTGTTTACTATCCGATCCCGGTCCGGTCTCGGTCCGAGTTATACGGTCCGGTTTCCGGTTTTTCATCCGGTCCCGGTCCAAATAGCCAGCCCTACTCTTTACCATAATTTTACTACGAGATTTGTACAAAATTTCCATTTGTTTAGATCACTTATCAACGGTCCATTTCGACTAAACTATAAAAGGGGACTATCCCTTCATTAGTAATTTGAATGTTCTAATTCTTTCGTTATGTAAATCGTGTTTTAGATAAATTTGATTGGACAGAGTCTTGATTTGTATTTTCAAAAAATTCTTGTTCCTTTTTATCTAATTTCAGTCTTTATCTAGTCTAAGCTCCGATTCTAAATTTAATCCTTACTCATCATAAGGGTTTTCTCTTTCTATCGTCATCCTCTAAAACTTCTAAAGAAAAATCCTCAAAAGTGTCGAAAGAAAACTTAAATTTAGTATCGTTGGATTTCTTTTCGCTTGTTTGCAGCCTCTTTTGACGAAAGAGTACTCTTCTTATTGTTTAATATCTATTCATACGTACATCAAAAAGAATTTGCGGATTAGTTTGTTGAGCCTTCCATTCCAGCAACTAACCAATTTGTAAAGACAATATACATACATATAAGACGCGAAAGAGCAGAATTTGAAGGAATAATGCGACTGAAGTTAAAATTTTGACTTTAGACTTTTGGGCTTTGGCCAATAGAAAACCCAGCGGAAGCAGAAAGCAAAGCCCCAGCCGGCAGCCACGGCCATATGCAGGCAGGCAGCCGCCGTATAATTTGCCGCCGCCACCAATTTCAGCGCCAAAAAAACTAATTACAAATGATTGGGGGGTTTGAACAAAGCCAAACACGATGTATATGAAACTTACGAGAAGAATTATTTGGTGAAGATGAGCAAAAAAAAGTGTGTGATTATATGAAATTTGCGTGATTAGATGATTGTATCATGAGTTATTTCTAACAATGGATGTATATATAAATTCTAAATATTGAAATTGTAGAGGTGGCAAATGGATTGGATTCATTAATTAATTGATGGAATGGATTCATGAATCTTAGTGACATTCAAACATTTGACCATCATGTGAATTTTGAAAAATTTAAGTACAAAAATGTCATTACAAAAAGTTATGGTATCAAAACATAGTTTTTGAATGACATTTTCATAACTATGTAAAACTTAAGTATCAAAACATAACATATAAAAAGTATAGATACTAAATTAAAATTTTTCAAATTGAATTGGCTTTAAATGGATTTGATTAGTTTTATTCTTTTTAGTGGATGAATTGGTGGATTGAGTTCAAATTGCCACCTCTATTCACTTGTAATGTGGGTGCTTATAGTCATGGCAGGACACTAGCATGTATTGACTGACCATATAGCACAAAGCCTCTAATATAGGAACAAAATCATGTGAGAAATTGGTGGTTTCGAGTTCATAGAAGTTTAATAGCTTGATCTTTATAAGGTGTACGGGAAAAACAAATCATTTATTCGTCTTTGATTTGTTTGTAAGCATGTTAGATTAATAGATTGTATAAACTTGATTATAGGTTCAAATCTTTTTAGTTTTTAAACTTTTAAATGTGTTCATTTAGTTCTCGTTGATTAAAATGTTTGTTCTCCACTTCAATATTTTGATATTTTTATTTCTTAAACTCCAAGTATGTCCATTGAACTGGCATTACATGGAAATTTGTGTTCTCTATATATATTTAAATTGAGTCATTAAACATCTAATGATTCAATTTAACTCCTATTACACAAAATTTGATGTTAAGATAACTTTGAATTGAATAGTTCAAAAGATTATGTTAATATATATTTTTGTAGACCCAATCTTGCTTCTTAGAAATTGATTGAATATCCCATGTACCTGGTTCAACCTATTCAAATGGATCAAAATTGGCTGGCTCGTCACCCGTGTAGATGTGGAACAAACCAAGCAAACACCCAACAGTTAGATCATAGAATTACATACCCTAAACTTGAGGGAGGATTAGTTTTTCGAGACTTAGTCTCATGGAATATTGTTTGCATGGCTAGGCATATATGACTAATTATGTTACAAATACAACACGGGTTCTCTGCGTAGCGTGGGTAAGAACTTACAACAATGGAAGAGTTGTGATTTTTGTCAGTTCAAAAGTAACTATGAATCATGGAACTGGAAGAGAATTCTAAATCTCATATTGATTGTTCAACAGTTTTCATTGTAAGGGATGGAACAGACTACTGGAACTAAGACAAAATGGAGATCTTTTCCATAAAAAAAGTATGGGAGGTCATTCGCCTTAAGCAACAATGAGTTAGTTGACAAAAGTGTTGTGAAAAGGGAGATCTATTCTCCGGAATAGGTTTCTAACTTGGATGGTAATCCAAAGAAGCATAAACACTAAAGAGAAAAATGTATAAATGTGATTTTGTAGTGGGAAGTATGTTTTGTTCTTGTACTCTTGAGTCCCTTGATCAATTGTCTCATATTGTCCTATGCAATGTGATATGTTAAGCATACTTTTTTGGCATATTATAATCTCACTTGTAGAGTCTCAGTTTTGATGATGAGTTGGGAGGGGATCATCGAAACTTTTCGTGGGAATTGTGATGTTGTTGAAATGAGTAGAACTATGTCTGATCAGCCACATTTAACATGAAAGATGAAGTAGAGTTTAGACAGGATCAACAAGGATGTTGCCACTTTGTTGAAAACTATAAAGATTGGAAGATGATGATACTAAGAGACTTTGGATTTCTTTGGATGGTTAATTCTTAGAGGAGTATGTACACATCATAGATTTTTTACAGATTTGCTTTTGATTTCATTGTAGCAGAATGTCATTTTTTATCTTCACTAACTAGAAACAAAGATTTTACCCGACAATTTTTTTTATAAAATGAAACCAATCGATTCATAAAAAAATCATCTGAACCAATTAGGCTATAGATATGTTTAGCTCTTTAAAAGGTCAAACCAACTAGATAGTAAATACGCTCTTGAACTTATGAGGGTCAAAACTCAAAACTGATTGGCGCCAGCTAGAGGGAGAGCCGGAGAGGCATTGCAACGACTGAGGTCAGAATTAGATAGGCAGACAGATAGGACAAAGTGGAAAGGAGAAATATATTTTCACCGGAGTTATAGTTCTCCGGAAAGTGAAAAAATTTGAGGAAGAGGGGTAGAGAAGAAAACCAGGAGGGGAGGGGATTTAAAATAAACACATTGGGATTTCCTCAAAATCGTGTTGCCACCATCGTCCCACTCCCCACCTATTCCCTCTATAAAAACGTTGGGTGAGGTTCTATTCTTCGGAGCTTCCAAAGATCATTAGCCCACCTCGCCTAAAATCGAAGTACAGCAGCAGCCAGCATCTCTGCCTCAATAAAACCATCCGTTTTCTCTCTGTCGCTTGACTCTTCTTCTCTATTTCCTTCGTTGCCTGTCGGGTTCCTCCGTTTCCTTCAAAGCCCATGATTTCTTGTTTCAATCACATACTTGTCGCCTTCTTTGTCGGCCCTTATTTCTGCTGAGTGTAAAGATCCCTTCTTTTGCTTATTCTTGACAGCATTGACGAAAATTTGTGAGGTTCGGGGACAGGGGAGTTGTTTGGGGAAAAGAGTAATATGGCCAATGTGTCTGGGTTCTTGAGTCCTTCAGTTCCCAGTTTAGGGAGGACTGTGAAGCCTTCTGTAGGGGTTATTGGATCTGGGTTTTGCTCTACAAAGGGAATAGCCAAGGGGATTTTTTGCTCCAGCGCTGTTGAAGGTGCTGCTGACAAGGTTTCCCCTTCTCAATCTCGAATGCCCAGGTCAGTGTTCTTGCTCTCTTCTTCAAGCTTCTACTTGTCTCTTTAGGTGGAGCAACAGCTCTCTGTTACTATTGTCGTTTTGCTGCATGGGTAATTGGAAGTTCAAAAATGGTGAAAGCCCTGTAGTTTCTGATTGGTATTGTAGATTAAAGGATCATACGCAAAATGAACGAGATGTTTTGCCAGTAAGCTGTGGTTAGTTGCCTTTGGCTCTGGTTGGTGCTAAATTGATATTGGGCGATTTGCAGATTACCTTTCTTGGACACTTTTCTAATGGTGTTGGAGAAGTTCAGTTTAGATTTTCTGCAGTGAAAAAACGAGATGAACTCATGTGATAGATTGATGACTTAGCGATGCAGGCTGACAGTCAATCTGATCACTTCATCATTGGATGTTTCAGTTTTATGCTTAAACTGTTTGAAATCACTGTGAAGTTGGATCCGGATTTTATTTGGATGTTGTTGTGGACTCATCCCAGAAGAGGAATGAAGTAAACTAAAATGAATTTCTACTAGTCATTCCTTGAGCGAGTTATCATCTATTTGATGGGACACTATATATCAAGGTTTGGGGAGTTAATACTGCACCATCATCAGAAGGAAGCACTTTCCTGTTGTTGTTGTTGTTGTTGTGTTGCCTAGTTTCTGCCATGCTTCCAAGATGTTACATTCAGATTTAATCCGTGAGGTACCTTATTAGGTATCAGGATTTGTTTCTTTCTAGGTTTAAACTGTAGATGTGCTACCTTGTAGGCAGTGGAAAATTGGAATTATGTCCTACTAAGATATGATGAATGACTGTGCCAGAGGTGTTATGTTGTATGATCAATCAGACGAGATGTGTCTTTGAAAATTATCGTTTCACTATAATGTTCATTACATTGGCCAAACTTGTATTCTGCAGGCTAGCTATGCAAGGTTGCAAGCTAGTTGGATCTGGCTCAGCAGTTCCAAGTCTACAGATTTCAAATGAAGATCTCGCCAAAATGGTCGACACTAATGATAAGTGGATATCTGATCGAACTGGGATCCGTAATCGACGAGTTCTTTCAGGTTTTGATTCCCTTATGCATTTTAGATTTTATATGTTGAGCATGAAAATGCATGTAGAGAAAGAAAAAGGTGTGTGTGAGGACTTAAGAAGGGATACTAAGATAACAAGAACGAAGCATTGTTAGAGTAGAAAGACAAGACGTGTTTATAACATTTCTTTTGCAGTTTCTGTAAAGTATATGCAATGCATCTTTTTTTTATTGGTAATAATATCACATCTTATAGGAATCAATTGAAGTTAGAAAGTTCCATTTTCCATTAACTTCGTTTCCTGGTTTTCACTGTAAAGATGGATGCATTTTACCTGGTGAATTGAATGTTTTCTGCTAATGCGAATCTTGCACAAGTATTACTAACTTTCAGCGGTTTCCTCTACTTTTACAGGAAAGGAAACCCTGACTTCTCTAGCAGCCGAAGCAGCTAGGAAAGCACTTGAGATGGCAGAGGTTGATCCTGATGATCTGGATATGATCTTATTGTGCACTTCAACACCAGAGGATCTTTTCGGTAGTGCTCCTCAGGTATAGGCTCTATGACGATTATTGACATCCGAAAGTCGTACAAATTACTAATAGAACAATGCTATGATAGGATTATTTTTTCATGCCAAAGCATGTGCATGCTCCTACGGTATATTGTTGAATTCAAAAACTCTGACCAAGAACTCTGAATGAGCGTTATGTTCTCTTGTTCGACGCTGTAGCCTTTGCTTGGGGCCTTGCTGCCCCATCTTTTGCATACATTTTGGAGTTCTGGTGATCATTTGGATGTCTGTCCATATTGTTGTCTGTTGCATTAAGTTTTCTTATAGGTTTTCTATGTTTCCTTAACTGATTTCTATAGTTAGAATTGCATCTTCACCACAACATGAATTTTAGATCTTACTCAAACCTTAAAAGGTCTTAAACCTGTACCTTGATCATATGTGTAAAGCGTGAAGACGACTCCTAATCGTACAAACCTTAAAAGACATTACTTGGTAGGAAGTATTCTCAGGAGTTCTGGCAAATTATGCTTATTTCTTCCCTTCCAGTTATATATATCTCTATCTCTATCTCTATCTTTAGTATGGAGCTCTACCTGCAAGAACTTGTTGTCGTGGTTAGATAAGATCCCCTCTCTGTTTGAACTACTTCAGGTCCTGAAAATTTGCTGTAGGGTCACATCTCCATTGAAAACTTTCTTTTTTCAGGCATATGAAAGCTTGTATTTTGCTTGGGAGATAATGAAATATAAGTAAATATCTAGTGGGAAAAGACAGAGAGTAAAAAGAAACCTGTTTTAGTTAGCTGGTTTCAGATTTATCCTCGTCTTTTTCCTCTTGGCGAAGATTTGGAAGATGTTTTGGGGTTTAATTAGGTTTCAGAAGATGCAGTTTAAGTTCATCTAAAGTGACCTCTTCTACTTCAAAACTTCTCTTATGATTGTTCCATGTTCCCCATCTTATACTCATTTCGTCTGTTCTCTGGATTTTCAGATCCAAAAGCAGCTTGGCTGCAAAGGAAACCCTTTGGCATACGACATAACAGCAGCGTGCAGTGGATTCATTATGGGGCTAGTCTCTGCTTCTTGTCACATTAGGGGTAACGTCTCTCTAGTCCTAACCTTCGAGATTCATTCATCCCACTCAATCCTGTTTAAGTAAATGCATCTCTATCATATCATTGCAGGAGGTGGATTCAAAAACGTCTTGGTAATTGGTGCTGACTCCCTCTCTCGATATGTCGACTGGACCGATAGAGGAACTTGTATTCTCTTTGGCGATGCTGCTGGCGCGGTATTGGTACAGGTATATGGGGGTTTCTGTTGCGAGCTCAGAAATCTTTAAAGCGATTGTTTGGTAGCCATATAGTACATGAATTTTGAAGAAATAAGGTGTTCTATAGATGGGATTGTAAGAATATATGTAGTGGTGGACTCCGCAAAATCATGTATTGTTGAAATCTTTAGGTGAACCCAAAGAAATAATGTATTCTGGAAATGCATGGGGTAATCCCCCCAAAAGTTGCAGTAAGGCTGGTCTAACTCCAGTTTTTGGATTTATTCTACTCTGTAGGCCTGTGATGGTGAGGATGACGGTTTATTCAGCTTCGATTTGCACAGCAATGGTGATGGCCAGAGGTATGTAATTACAATTAGGATTGTCCTTCAGCTATCTTTTGGTATTAGTTTAAACTATTTATCTTTCCATCGTGCAGAAATTTGAATGCGTCAATCAAGCAAACCGAATTGGATCATGCTCTCGGTTCTAATGGATCAGTTATCGACTTCCCTCCTAGACCCTCCTCTTATTCGTGCATTAATATGAACGGAAAAGAGGTTTATCGCTTTGCCGTGCAGTGTGTGCCAGAGACTATCGAGTCTTCTCTTCAGAAGGCTGGTCTAACTCCAGCGGACATTGATTGGTTGCTACTCCACCAGGTAACAAACTAACAATGGATGCCTTTCCTTATGGATCAATGATTGCCTTGCAATTAGTACTCTAAAGAATGTACCTTTTTTTTCTGCAGGCCAACAAGAGGATCATAGATTCGGTTGCAGACCGTCTGAAACTTTCTTCTGAAAATGTGATATCGAATCTGGCGAATTATGGCAACACGAGTGCTGCTTCAATTCCCTTGGCATTGGATGAAGCTGTTCGAAGTGGGAAAGTGAAGCCAGGTCATAGAATTGCAGCTGCTGGTTTTGGTGCTGGTCTAACTTGGGGCTCTGCTATAATTAGATGGGGCTGAAAATTGAAATCTTTCTTACAGATGCTTTCTCTTTTCACCAATGTCTCCAGAATGAGAGATAAAACATCAAATTAGACCAGAATTCCCTGTAACATCCAGTTTGCTTAGTTATTTTCTTACCTTTTGTGTTCCATATGTACTTACTACACACAAACTTGTTGCTTCCCTTATGTGTAATGTAACCCTTTATCAATTTTTGGTACCCCAAAATAAAAAAGTTCCATTCTTTCCTATCCAAAACCTGAAACTCTTTACAATGCTCGAACATTCAAGCTCAAGGTTCTCTACTTTCTCTACCTTTCTCCCTCAAAATTCGTCCATTCAGGAAAAAATAAGCAAGACAAAGAAGACCGACTCCTAATAATGTTACAACAACAGTCTGGAAAAAAGCAACGGTGCTATCACATAGAAGAAAGGTCTTCTACTCCTACTTCTGCTTCTTCACCTTTGATCCTGGACCTGATCTTCTCGAGAGCTCCATCAATGGCAATATCAAGTGCATCCTTTTGCCCTTTCCATCCTACAGAAGAACTACTCCCATGTTTCCTGTAAACAACTCTCGGGATCAACTCGATAACCTTCTGCCTCATCCTCCTAACCCGAGCCCTCGAAATCCCCATCAGCACGTCCAAAATCTTCATTCCATTGTAAACCACATCCTCCTTCGGAATGTGGACTGCAAACTCCCCATAAGCTTCCTCCGGCAAGTGCCACCTGTACTGCGTTCTCGCGGATTGATCCTCGAAGAACACCGGTATGCAGCCGGCAATGATCGCATCGAACGTGGACCTCCTCGTCGGAGTGTCCCCGGGAGGCTGGAGGCAGAATGTCGACTGCAACATGGGCCTCATGTACAAAATCGGGTCGTGCTCGCATTTCCCATTGGCGCAATCGACAATGTCGCACACTTTGGAGTAATAATACCACCCGCCATTGCTCTCAAACGTATCGCTCGTGTTCTCGCACTCATTCCTAATGCTCCGCCGGATATTGGGCTGCGCCGACACCCCTCCGCCGCCGGCGAACAGCATCAATGTAGTTCTCCGGGACGCCTCGACCCGATTGATCCACGAATCCAGGAGCTCGGCATTCGGCGGGTGAAACGACGTCAGATAGGGAATGGCTTGCTCCTGCCACGGCCATAACCTCTCTTCAACGACAAGCGCCGTGAGATTGTAGAATTCCGGGAGTTCCAAAAACGAAGTCCCCCAAATCGGCGGGTCGAGATCTGGCGGCTGGGAGAAGTCCCAGGCGGGTCGGGCGAGAACCAGGAAATGATCCGACCCGGAATTCCGCCCCCAAATCCACCCGTCGTTTTCCTGCAGGAACTCGAAGAGCTCCAGGCCGTGATCCATGCTGTTGTTCACCTCCGGGCCGTAGAGGTAGCGGAGGGAGTCGATGGCGGCGTAGTACGGGAGGTAGACGGCGGCGGCCTGGTTCGGATCTTGGGTCAAACAGGGGTATTCGAGCATCCGTCGATGGAAGATGAGCTCGAGAAGGAAAGGGTCGGTTCGGTACCATGAGTGGGAGCGGTTGTGGGTCTTGGGTCCGAGGCCGTGATTGGAGAGGTAAGGGCAGAAATCGTAGAAGAGGTCGTACTCGGAGCAATTCGTGAGGAGATCGAGGTTGAACCTCGCCGGGAGACGCCGGATGTGGATCCAACGGCCCGAGCAGTCGAGTTGTGGAACCACCGCCGCCGCCAATGATGATTCTCCTCCTCCTCCGCTGCTTCCGGCTTCTCCTGATCCTGCTCGCTCTTTTCTGGACTTGGATGCTTGCTGCAGGGAAAATGCAGGGCTGAGCAAGAGGAAGAAGAAGAGGAGGTAGGAAGGGGAAATGGGTACGGACGCCATGGATGGACAGGGAAAAGCTTTGGAGAAGAACAACAATGGAGGATATAGATTTTAGGGATTCATGTCATGTTGCCGGGGGTTACTTGTTACATTAAACTTTTTTTTCTTCTTTTTTCAGGCAGATATTTGTGTTATTGGATTTTGTTTAGGAGACTTTTCCTGAAAATAATGCTAGGCGAAAGTCACAAATTTACGGCTGTGAAGAAGCCGTAAATCTGGGTGGCTTATGCTTAATCAATGTTTTTAATTATACACTAAATTCTGTTTTACTGTTTTTAAGCAAACTTAATAAAAATAGACAGGGGCAAACTAATAACTCTTACAAATTCGCCATGTTATTAACTACAGACCGTTGGAAGGAAGAGAGTAATTAGTGAGTTAGATTAATGCGTTGACCAGAAGTTTGGAAATCCTAAATCCAAAATCGACATTCCATAGAGATTATTGTAAACTTTCTAAATGAATCTCTCTCGGACTTGGGCCTATTCAGAGTTGGGCCGCATAAAATCAATACCAGAAGAGTACTGGATATAGTACACAGGCACAAAGTCGTAACAGAAAATAATTCCGCGGCCCAGCCCAATTGAGCCCAGCTGCCAAGAAATCCAAGAAACAATCATAAAAATATGATTAGCAGTTAGTTAGTTAATTAGCCTAATCAAATTGAGCCGATCATCGCTTCCATATAATTGGGGAAGTCCGATTTTCAAGAAGTCCCTTCTGCCATTTTCCCCAAATCGAGTTCTCCAAAATTCCATCAGAGATCGAAAGCTCCTTTCTGTCACTCCAGTTCTTCTTCTTCTTGACAGGATGCCGCATTTTTCCTTCTCCGATCTCCTCCCCACCTCCACCGCCGCCGCCAAGAAACCAACGCCGGCCACCGTCCTCTTCCAAGACTATTACAACGAGTGGTTCAAGACCCTGAAGACGACCCTCCTCCCGCTAATCCACCGCTCCCTCACCGACCCTTCCCCGCCGGCGCTGCTCTCCTCCCACGTCCACCTCCTCCTCCACCACTTCCTCTCCTACTACGACGCCCTCGACCTCGCCGCCACCGTCTCCGCCGACAACCTCCCTCACCTCCTCCACCCGCCGTGGCGCAACTCGCTCGAGCGCCCTTTTCTCTTCCTCGGCGACCTCCACCCTTACTTGCTCACCAACCTTTTGAGGAAATTCCTCAGAGAGGGAGGATCGGAATCCGAATCCGACACCGAGCGCGAACCTCAAACCGATTCCGAGGCCGCGTGGCAGTTGGGGATCACGGCGTGGAAAGACCCATCCGACGAATTGATGGTCAAGATCGAGCAGATTGAGCGCGGCCTGCGGCTGATCGTGCCTTCGTTTTCGGAGAGGATGAAGAAGGCTCAAGCAGGGTTTATGAAGAAAGTGGGAGAGCAGTGGATTGGGACTGCGACGGTGGCGGAGGCCATGAAAATTGAGATGGATGAGATGGTGAGCGTGTTCCTTGACGCGAATCGGGCGCGGCGGAGCGTGATCTCGGAGATCGTAGGGACGCTGAATCTGTATCAGGGTGCTCTGTTTCTTGAAGGGTTGGCCCAATTTCTTGTTGGGTTCAAGGACCCCGGTTTGGTCAGGAAGTTTAAGCGGCACCGGATTCCAAGCACCGTCGCCGGCATCAGCGGAGGAGCTGGAGGGAAATCTGCCGACGGGAATTGATTGAGACGCTTGCCTCTGATTGACTTGGAGTATAATCTGTTTTTGGCTTTTTGCTCTGCTTTTTGTTGAATTTAGGAAGTTGGGAACTTTCTTGGTGGGTCTTTGAAATTGTATTTGTGCTTTCTGCACTGGTGATCATCGTTTAAGCTGTTGATGTCAGGCGTTAAAATGGCGCTAAATGCCTCCATGGTTATTTTGAGTAATGAACACTCCGATTTGTTGTACTTGTACCACGGCTTCGAACAAGGTAGCAAGGAATGAATCAAACTTGGAACCTGTTGGTGGTTGTTAACTGCAGTTATTAGACTCCTAACTTTAGGTTTAGGAATGATGACGAGGAGAGTGAATCCGATATCCAGTGTACTCGATTCAATTCTCTAGTATGAAGAGAAATCAAGTTGCTAACGACTCCACAGATCCTGCTTGTCCAGTCCAAGTGTTCATCCTGCTGAATTTCGTCACTGATTCTTATGCTCAGGCTTTAGAGTACCGCAGTCTGCACACTCCAATCCTCATTCCTCCATGATGATCTTTGGTAGCAACTAGCAAGTCAGGTCCGTTGTGTTCGGTTTTCTCTTATCGCCAGTTCGCCGGCATTCGGCTTTTGGGTGAGGGCCGAGGAACAACAGCTAAATACTACCTATTGGGCCGAGTGTTCATTTTGGTAACCCACCACTAGGCCCATGGAGTTTGTGGACTTGGAAAATAGTTTGGATGACTTATCTGGGGGCCCGTTTATTCATTCGGATGCGTAGTCGGCCGCCAGAAACTTAAATGGTGGACAACAAATTATAGAATTATCACAATATCATGTGTGGCCACTGGCCAGGCTTGTTTAAAAAAAGATCACCACACAGATAGCGAGTAGCTAGTTTATCAATGGGCCTAGCTAGCTACTAACTATAAAAAAAAAAAATTTGTTACCGTCAAGTTGGAATTATTTATCACTATAACAATTATTATCACTGTTGTTATTAAAAATGTATAAACATATTCTAGTTTTGTCCGAAGTTTGGAGTAAGTGTGCAGAGCTTGACGGAGTAGTTGATCATCAAGATTTTGGACTTCATGCATGGGGCAAGATTCGAAGGAGATGTTACTTTTCGCTTTTTAATATTATCATCGTCATTATTAAAAAAAAGTATTCGAAAGAGATGTGCACAAATTGACGGGAGAAGAGAGGGGACGAGCTTCGAACAGGGGGCTCTTTGCCAGAGGGGAAAGATGGGGAGGGAAGGTGACTTTTGGTTAGTTGTATGCTCGGGCTAGACTTGAGGGAAGACGAATAAGGATGAAAGGGAAGAGTCATGTGGTCCTCGTGACCTCTTCTCTCTGATTATTTTTTATTTGCAGTTTTTTTAAAAAATAATGAAGTGTTTTAGTCAAGAGAAAATGTTAATTACGTATACGAGATAATTCAACACAGTATGCTTAGTTATTGACGGAGAAAATATTTGACTGTCAATTCAAATCATATGCCAAATTTGCCCATTTCTTTGAAAAATTGTTCACAACTATATTGTTATTAAATTCGAATAAAAATTGTCACTTAAAGGTATTAACCCTATATATATAATAACTAGTTGTTGACCCGGCCCGTTGGCCGAATTATTTTAGATTTGTCGGCACGTGGAGCGAGAGTGAGAGAACGTCTATTCTCGTACAATTATATATTTAAAATGTTAACAATTTATTTTAATTAAATACATATTTTCATGCAAAATACTCAAACATCTCTTCATATTTTAAATTAAAAATATATCCAGGCCAAGAAGAAAATAACAACTTTATTAACATATTGAAACAAATTGTTGTCAATTTTATGTATAAAATTATCTAAATTTGTTTAATTTTATTTATATAAAAAAGGTACATGTATCCCCCTCTGACTCCAATCCCAATTTTTTCCTAAATGGCACCCCCGGTGCCACACCCATGGTATTAATGTTTCTCATCATCTTCTAATTTTTTATAGTCGTCGTTCGTCAACCGTTCATTCACTTCATTCAAAAAGCCTATCATCTGCAAAGTTTCAATATTCTAATACATATACTTCTCGTATTCGTCCAAACAATTTGTAGATAAGTGGTCACCATAGTAATCTCTTCGAATTTATCTCTCTTATTCTAGTCATGAGTTCTTAATCCAGTTGAGTTCACAATGCTTATAAAAAGCCCGAATTCTACAGTATGGTAGTATATCGCTTGCGATTAGCATGTCATCTGCATGTTGATTTTGAACCCAACATGACCTTCTGTTGTCGTCAATTATTTTCCATTTTTACTCTCACCTAGCATATGCACGCTATTTCTAGTGAAACAACCACTCGTTTCGTTTCGGCTGCATATATTAATTTGCAATTTTTCCTGCATAATCACCCTTCACAATATAATAGTTCAGTAATGATTTTTGAATTCTTCCAAGTTCGCATTTTAGTACTCTAAAGCAAGAGTGCCAACTCCACTGTTATATGTTTTCTATATATAAATATATGCAACAAATTTATTTACTGTAATTGGTTATTACCAAGGTTGTCAACAAAATTTAAATTGTTGACTCATTGAAGCAAATGGGTTAATGGTTAATGGTCAAATTGGATTAACTCAGTTTAGCCAGACTTCCCTTGGGTATATGAAAGATTTTATTGATTCCACATGTATTGTGCTTAATTATTTACAAAATTGTTATGGTAAATTTATGTCCAATGATGAATTAATATTTATTCAATCATTGGGATTGAATTGTCGTTATTAGTACTTTTACATCTTTCCTCTCGCAAATGACAATTTAATTCTCAATCACTTTCCTATTCCTTTTTCTCCTTTTCCCTTTCTAGTTTTCTTTCTTTCCTTCCGTTGTCATATCATATATTTCTTTCTCAATGTTATTTCACGCTTCTTCTTCAATTCGATTTCAATATGCCTAGCTAATTTATTACTATCCTATTATGCTTCGAATTCAATTAATAAAAGGTAGTCCTTCTCGCCATATTTTTAATTACTATTATTGATGAGTAGCTTATGGATCTATGGGCGTGTATAACCCATGTGTATCCGAAACCCGCAGGTACGGGGATATGCTTGTAAGTCATTCCCCACGTAGGTATGAGTTTAAATATTCGGAAATGGAGATGTAGATGGTTTAGGTAAACCCTTTCGTTTGACATCCCTAGATATGTTAATCATATTTTTCTCACACTAACCTGATACATTTTTCAACTAAAAAATAATCGTCAATTTAGAAATTCAAACACACTTATATAACATGAATATTCAAATTTGCAACTTAGAATTCCAAAAATTGGGTTAGGCAAAAAAGGGAAACATGAAAATAGAAGCATTTTGTAAATCAAAGGAAAGAACGAAACAGTTTGACTTCCAACCCAATATCTTATAACGATCGACCTGACGGATGTGTGCGACCCATTTTTCTCACCAAGTCAGAATCAAAGCGGGGTCAACCCATGGATTGAAATCTTAGTCTTAGGTTAATAAAAATGAAAAAGAAGCAAAGCCTAATTAAAATTGATATTTTAAAATGCCCACTTTGTATAATAATAGAGATATTCACTACCGAAGCTATAAATTAAGTTTCCATAAAAAAGAGCTATAAATTAAGTTTATAGCTTCGCCAAATGACGGTTGGGCATAACCGCATAAATAGAAAAAGAAAAATGACAAGTGCGGTTGGGCCAAGTTAAAAAAATGGAGGGAAGGAAAATCACAAAATGGGTTTCCGAAAGTTACTCTCCTTGCAGGAATTTTTGAATGGTGTGATAGTTTTTTGCATTTGGCTTTTATTTATTGTATAGGTAGATTATAAGCAACAACTAAGCTACATTTTTGTATGTTATTTGGGCCTCAGATTCGGCGTAGAACATGAGTGTCCGTGGTATCTGGCCCGGTCCCTTGCATTATTAGCCACCACCTGTTCAATATTAGGTAGCTGCACCCTGCATTGTTCACTAGTCTCCAACAAGTTTTTCTTTAATGATATGGACCTCTCCCGAAATAAACTTCGAGCATTGTAACTTTTAGGTTAGTGTAAGTTTTAAGTGTGGTTCGGCGTGGGTTATACTCTTTCAAATATTTGAGTTTAGGTATTAAAATGTGAATTTTCAGGTAATCGTCATGTGGTAGAATGGTAGACTATAAAATCACTATCATCTATGATTCGAACTTAATTTTAATAGGATGTCGGGATGTTCTAATTCTAGCCCCACTCTAAATCCTATTTCTGTTACTTAAATTCAAAGTCTTCTTACTTTTGTTCTGTGTTTTGTCATTGCGCAACATAAAATACACTTACTCCACCTAATATGTACATATGATGATTGAATGTAGCAAATTTTTTTTATAAAAAAGATGTGATTACTTGAATGTTGAGACTTGAGAGGGTGAGACTTATAAAAAAGATGTGATTACTTGAATGTTGAGACTTGAGAGCGTGAGACTTAAAAGAATAACAACTACAAATCTAAACAGAGAAAGGACTGTAGGTTGTTTTGCATCGATTGGGAAACATGACTTGCAAGTGTGTATGTGTCCAAACTCCGAATTATCAATACTAGTTCTATAACTCATAACAGAGGGAATGGACTAAGTAGAGTGGGGAACAAAAGCACATAAAATTATGTGGTTGGGTAGAAATGTGTTACCTCCATCCACAGATGACGAAAAGCAGATGTTTCGCATTTGATTGAAGCTTGACACTCGACTTAGAGAGCCACCTTCATCACCGCCACCTCCCGCTCATCACTTTTTTCTTTTCTAAACAAACGACAACCATTCCAACCTTTTCAGCTTCTGTTTTCCTTTTCCTTTGGCCATGAGGAATTGTGCAATTCCATGTAACAATGCGTCACAAAAGGGGCGGACTTTTAATTTTTAATTTGGGAGCTAATTAAGCTGTTGTTCGAATGTAGGGATGGCAAAAATATCTGTAACCTTGGATATCCGCCCGAATCCGGCCTAATCGGGTAGGGTAAAACCCGAACCCGA